TTTAGACTATGTAAGCAGCGTTTTAAATATGACAGATATGACACGTTATTCTCAACCAAGATTTTTTTTTTTTTGTATGCTGTGGATTAAGAAACCGAGATGCTCTTTTCTTTCATTTAATTTTTAGGAAACTCGACTGAACATTGGACTGCGCCGTATTGAGTCTCGCTGCTTTTGCTTTCGCCGGTGATCGGAATTTGTTTCTGTCCAATTCGAAGGGGCTCCAATCAAAATTTGTAAAGGCGCACTCGAAAAACCCACACTGAAGAAGAAAAAAAAAGTCTGCAGGTTTATTTTTTTGTAGAGCTAGAGCACGGAGACATGCAATCAGGATCCAGCCAACGACAAAGCTGATAATACGATCAGACCAGAAAGACGCAATGTCCGCATGCGTGCATCAACGGACGAGTGAAACGTCGTGCTGATATTGTCCCCGCCCACGTCGCAGCTTTTTGGTCCACTCGGATTATGAGCTTGGTCATTCGCTGAGATGCTTCTACTGCTCGCCGTCATTCGCTGTCTCGTGTACTACAGAAAAACAAGCTCAAATAACACTGTTTTTTTTTTCTTTTTGTGCAAACTTTTTTGCGAAATGGTTGCGCCGTCTGAACGAGTCCGAAAAGGACGCTCGTCCTTTTCGGACTCGTTCAGGCGGCGCAACCATTTCGCAAAACTATGTTTCGCGACACCAGATGCGCGAGAAAAATGCATCGTGTGAACGGGCCTTCATAGACCAGCTGGAAGGCGAGATGCACGGGGTAAAGCACTACCTGAAGACCATCCTGGACAGACTTCCACAACCTAACGATGGCCAAGACAAGTAAAGGTTGCATTGTGTGGCAATGGAACTGTCGAAGCTTGGCTCCGAAGAGGGGACACCTTCACCAGTACCTATAATCCCTACCACCAGAACGCAGGCAAGTCGTTTAAGCCATACAAGGAACGTGGAAGGCCATCACCATTCCGCGATACCAAGCCTTTAATCACGCCAACTCATCAGGGGTCGTACGAGTCACCACACTGGTGCGACACAACCTACCAGCACAACTTCACCCAACCGGCATCGAAAACATCGAGCACACCTTTATCGAAATCTTGGTGGGCAAGAAAAAGAGCCATCGCAGCACGTTCATCCTCAATGTATAGTCCTCCGAAGACACAGCACTCGTTTCACCAGCTCCTGCGCGGCGCCATAGACGTGGCCAAGGGAAAGGCTATCCGCAAGATAGCGCCAAGGGTCAGCAGCTTTGGCAGGACATTGCCACCCTGGGACTGGACCTAGGCACAGACCCGACGCAGCCAACTCGGAAAGCCACGGGTGAATGCAAAGACACATCGCCAGACCTCAAACTCAGTCACTGCTTAGACGCAGAATGGCGCAACACCCTGGAAACTCTGGGCAGTGACCACTACACCCTCAACATTCTCCCGAGATGCGACACCACGAAGCCCAAGGGAAGGCTTCTGCGAGTAGCCAAGGTGGACACTTTCAAGCAGAAGCCTAGATCCCTCCCTAATCCAGGGCTGCACTCTGTGGATGGCAGGAGGAAGCGATGGCACCATCCAAAACTCGCTGCAAGAAGCTATACAGCTTCTTGCTGTATAGCTTGTGGAAGCCTACGCTAAAGAGCACAGACTAGCCTGCTCTCAGGAAAAGTCGGAGCTGCTACTCATGGCCGGCACCACAATGAAAACTACCTCAAGCATCACACTGCAGGTCAGAGAGGACGTCCCTCAGGTCCAGCGACATTGAATACTCTGTCTGTGGTTGCAAGATGGCAAGAACACATACAGCATCAGAGCCCTTCGTAACACCGCACAGCAAGTAGAAAGATTCCTAGCAAGAATCGCCGGAAAACGGTATGGCATGAGAGAGTGGAACGTCATTCACCTTATCAAAGCCTCCATGATTAGCAGGATTGCTTACGTTGCACCCTTCCTGGACTTGATACTCATGGAGAAGGATGCCATCGATCGCATCATCCGTTGCGTATAGAAGGACGCACTTCATCTACCACCTTCAAAAGAAACCAAGCAACTCGAGAAGCTTCGGCTTCACAATGCCTTCTTGGAGATCATCGAGGCACAGAGGATAGCCCACTACGTAGGGCCACCTCTGGCCACAGCGGGGAGAATCATCTTCACATCTTTGGGCATCAACTACCACCCGACAGGGCACAAAACGCGAGGCTGGCTTCCAAAGGAGCTATGAGAGCTGCTACAGATTGCGCCTCTATCTCGTCATATGCATCCAGTGCATGACACAGGCAGGCGCATGGCCAGAGTCAAGGGTCTAGAGAACACTCTACAGCAAGGCTACGACGACACCTAGGTGACCTATGTTGACACCCCTCAGCCAACAGGGGTCGAATGACCCTTGCGGTTACGAATCATTCCGCCCAAATCCTCACGAGAGGCAGCATATATACTAGCAACAACGCAGAGGCAGAGGAGGCAGCCATTGCCTTGGCCCTCACCCTCAGAACACCGAAAGTCATTGTCAGCGACTCCCAGATGGCCATCTGCCAGTACATGCGTGGCCACATCTCTGACAAAGCCCTCAAGATCGCCACTGGCCATCGCCTGATCGACCACCCAGTCCGCATTGTGTGGTGTCCAGCCCATGCATCACTCCCAGGCAACGAGTGTTCACAGTGCAGCCCCCCCTCTTATACACCGGGCTAGCCCACCAAGTGAGCACTCGACATTCGCCTCGTGCAGCCACAACCCCCACACCTTTAAGGGGGTGCTGGACCACTACCGAGCAAAACGCCGAGCCTACCCAGAGGCTCACAGCACTCTCAGTAAGGCAGAATCCTGCATCCTCCGTCAAGTTTGGACGGAGACCTTCCTCAACCCAGTGCAATTACACTTGTGGTATCCAGATACATACGACCCGTCTTGCAGGAACTGTGGAGAGATCGCCACACTCCACCACATGCTCTGGGGGTGCCCGGAGCTGTTTATTCACTTGTAGAATCAAGACTTCATCAAGCAAGCCAGGCAACCAGGCGCCTGGGAATCCTTTTTGCGGGATCCTAACCCCAAGGCTCAGTAGTCCAGCTGGCCTCGGATGCCGCCAGGAACATTGCGTCTCGTCTGTCGACCGAGGGAATCGCGTGGTCAGAGTCTCTCGCTTGACGCGGGGATCTAACAGTTTTGGACCCAATAAAGTCTACTTCACTTCACCTCAACCCCCGCCCTCCCTCCCCCGGTTGCCGCCATCTTGCCTGTTTGCCACATTAGTGATCATGTGACGTCAAGATGGATGCGCCCAGAAGTGGGCCAGATCACGGCAAGCAGAGGGGCCCTCTGAGGCTGCGTTCCAATCTTACTCGAATGGACCCGAGTTACTCCAGTGGATCATGTCACGTGACAAGACTGATAGAGCAACTGGACTCAGATAGGTTTTCGAGTGCCAAGGTATAGAACATTTACCCTAGAGGGAGATCAAGTAAATTTTGGATCGCGGCCCTGCTTACCATAATCTGGCCAATCTGATCTGGCACACCTATGGGCGCAGCCATTTTAGTCACGTGATCACTAATGTGGCAAACAGTCAAGATGGCGGCAAGCGGGGGGGTGCCATTTTTGGCCGCTGGTTTACCACTCAAGCTCGTCGATTACTACGCAAATGCCATGGTGAAAATGACCACTGTGCAAAGAACCATAGTGAATACTCGGCAATCTCCATGCCTTGAGCTTCGACATTTTATATCTCCGTAAGAAAATTAGCAACAGCATTCCTATATAGCTGAATGCTTTTCCCAAGAACATGACTTCAACATATATTTTTTTTTACACAAATAAAAAAAAAAATATATGACCAGACCACCATTGCACAATGACGTGGAAACACCCCGTACCAAAATTTGCCTACTAAGTGACGAAAATTAAACAGATAGATTAAAATTGTAATGGAATGCTCATAGGCTAGTTTTATACACTAAGTTTTGCGATTTTGGAGCTCTAGTAATTGAAATAATCATTTCACAAATTTCAATCATTTTCATCTGGTGACCACGCAACAGTGCCCAAGTTAATCACAGCATGGTGCCCATAAATATTTTGTAGTGTAAATGCCAATCAGAACAAAATTCAAAATCTGTTTTGTAAAAAACATTGTTTTCACGGAAAATAATTGGAAGCCACCCTTAGTTCCAAGCGTTCCTCTCCCAAAACAACTGCCATGGGTACGGGGGAAGAAACATTTACTCACAAACTACGTATAAGGAGGAGTGACTCAAAAAATATTTGACGTTAATTTCCAGACAGAAATAAAAAACACAACAGACTCCAAAGAACTTTTTTTTTCTTCGCATTAATAAATATTAGAGCTTTCAGACTTTGCCAATGTGTTGTCCTGCATCTTGTTAATATTGGCACTAAATATTGTTGTCCTGGGTAGCGTAATAAACTTATGAGAAATGCTAAAATGGGGACATTATAATATTTTGGAGTTATTGTGAAACTCAATTTTAAAAAAGACCAGCTTTGATTTTTTTAAAACTTTCTCACATGAAGGCATATGATTGGTACTAACAGAATCTGCAAAACCATGTTGCATTATTTTTGAGTATTTGAAGTTATAAAGCTAGATATATGACTAAATTGAGGCTATCACAGTACCGTGAATGGGGCTTGTAGACACCCGTAGATGACAAATTCATTACATTTACGAAGTGTAAAAATGCTCAAGGCTGGTCAGAAAGAAACAAATTGATGGCACAGAGGCGGAAAAGGTTTTAAAGTGAGAATTCTTAGTGTGTTTTGTATAAGAGTTGCAGAAAATGACCGCGGTCCGAAGCAATCGAGAGGCACTCTCACGTCGCATACTTTGCAGGGCCTGTTTTCAATAGCCCACGTATAGGGTCTTTGCGTATGCCATGTGTAAGAAGGCGACTTAACAAGTTTATCTCAGCCTTTTGCCTGGAAGTAACATGATATGGCGTGACAGAACCTGCATGCCTGCTCACAGCATTGGAAAGAGGCAAAGCTCCTTTAGTATAACAACTTTTAATACAAGAACAGCTCCAACCACAAGTTAACAAATATACAAGGCTAAAAATCAGCAAGCAACGAATGACTGCACAGGGTAATCCGAACTGGGGAAGTATGGGGAAGGGTCCAGGGGGGAAGAGGGGAACAATAAATCCTTGGGAAGGGAAGGGGGGGAGGTCCTCGCCAAAATTTAATCTGCTCTCTGCGATATCTTCTGTGTGTGTTGGCGTGTGTATACATATCGATTTTGTGAGCTGGACTAGATAAAAAGATACCTCAGGGCAACGTCCCAAGAAACTCTGCTAATTCTCACGAAAGGGAGGGGAGGATCGGGAGGGGTGAGGGATGGTGGCAAGAGAGCAGAGGATGAAGAATGCTCTAATGAGGGTGGGCAAGGGAAACAAACCTAACCTCTCAACAAAACAAGAAAAAAAAAAACAGCAACTAAAATAATGGTGGTACACATTCCTATGGTCTCCACTCTTCAAGTGCCCCTTTTAGTCTGCATTTTACAAAAAAATGCGAAGTACGCACACTCACAACAACATGCTCACGAAGAAAGGAGGAGGAGAAAAGGGGGGGCGGGATGCTTGAAAAAAAAAAGAGTGCAGTTATGGCAAAAACATAAGACAAGAGTTTAATAAAATCGAGATGCAGGAGAGAAAAAAAAGTCTCCTTGCGTCCTTTGATAAGGTTGCACAGGACGACGCAATGCAATGGAAGGCGGGAAAAAAAAACACTCCGGAACGACAACATTGCACGCATCCCTTTTTTTCTTTGCGAGGGAGCATTCCAACCGCCGCTGTAAGACCGACGTTTCATTTGATTAACTTTTCATCTCGGTCCAGGTTCGAAATACCAACAGGCAAACTCGGGCGCCATGGTTTACCAACAGAAATTGAGGGACAAAGACGAAATGCCGGCAAGAAACAGCTTCGATCGCCTTATGACGGCCCTTTGCAAAAGTCGCCAGAATTTGGTTGTCCAACAAGATTAGCTGAGTGCGGTCCTTTTCTCTCTTAAAAGGCTCGAAAACAAACGCGTAGCTGAGCAGTTTGGACAAGGAGCCAAGTCGCCGAACCACACTAAATACTGGTGCTTTAAGATTGCATCACCTAGCAACGCCGTTCTTCTCAACTTTGTGTCGACCGACATGATATAACGTAGCTCCCAAACATAAGCTTCCAAAGTTGTCGCAATTGTTTATGCACGTGCAGATTTTTAATCCAGAATGTGGGCATCAAAGAAAGTTGTCTTGCAATCAATTGGAAAAACTAAAAACAAAAACAAGACACAAAGTATTTGTCACGCCTTTCCAAGAGTAGGCGACGTCTACGCTCTAAGGGAGAAGAACCGAACGGGAAAAGCTCCACCCGATTCCGACCGATGCGGAGCCGCAACGACGGTTAGTCTGTTCAGCCCGTCAATCGAGCCCCGTTTCTACAAAGTGTGGTCGTGTTCGTCAGAAAAAAGTTTCACCGAAAGTAAAACAGGAAGGTGATAAGGAAGAAGGGAAGAGGGAGAGCACAAAAGCTAATTTCAGGGCGACAAACTTCCCCGTAAAAGTCGGAAAAAATGTGAAGCTGGTAGTGTATTCCGTAGGAGGGGGGGGGGGGACTTGTGTAGTTAGTATTGCATATAGCAAACATATATATGCTTCTATGTACAGGCACGGTCAAACTCTCATTAAAATGTGGCGCGGGGTAAGCCACCGGTCTGACGACATCGCCACCGCCACCGTTGCCAAGAGGGGACGATGCGTGTGGACGAGAACTTCGTGTAGTGCTTTTTTTTTTTCCTCCAAGAGTCACACACCTAGAATTGAAACCGACCGCTACACGAACACTGCATGAAAGAGTGGCAGTGGGTACCCAAGAAAAATGAATCAAGAAGAAAAAACAGAAACTCGTCAAAACTGAGTGATTTCGGGCATTCCAGACACAAGACGCGGTAAGAGACGCCAGCGGTCGCCGTGCAAATCACACACAGGCTATGCACGCACACCGAACAAGGATGAGCGAGTGAAAGGGACCGAAAAAAAATAACTAGGGGCGTTTGGAAGCGATCGATTTGTGGTGCCCGGCAGTGACAAACGATTACAGGTCGAGAGAGAAGCGGAGGTGGTAGTGGTGGTGCAAAGAACACCAGAAAATCAAATAAACACATACAACAAAAAACAAATTGGGGAGTTGGGTGCGAAGGGGCGGGTCGGGTAGGGCGGTACGTTTTTCCAGCCAACAGTCAATGTGCAAAGAAAAAATAATAAAGACTTTGCTCGTAGCAAGGTTTTTCTCCGTGGTCACAGTGCCACTTGGGGCTGTGGCGTGCAGGGAAACAAAAGACAAAACAAGAAATAGCTAGAAAGGAGAAAGCGAGGCAAAAGTGGCACTATGCTTACGAGAAACAAATCTACATGCACGCGCACGCACCCAAACACACATGCACACACAACCTTTTTTTTTGTTTGTTTGTTTTCCCTTAAAACGCTTGATTGCTGCCTAGAAAGAGTATAGTTATGGTAACTGTCGTCGTGGCGTAGCCCAAAGAACGACCGTGACGAAAAGAGGAGTGTGTACGTTCTTGCCTTCGCTCCCCAAAGTACGCTTTTTTTTTTTCCGGTCGCTTTGCCATCTGGTAGTCTACAACAAAAAAAAAAAGGGAAAGAGAGAGAGAGAGTGTGGCGGGATGTATGAGGAAGGGGAAGAGTGCAGCAAGGGGAGAAAGCGAACGAGCAAGCGTGGACTCAAACAGAGCCGAACTCGTCCGCAAAGCCAAACGGACGTATGGCCGTATTCTCCGTGCCTCTTTTTCTTCACTCGAGAGGACGACCGACGACAGTCACTTGTGCCGTAGTACCTCCAGGCTCGTGCCATTCGTTGAATGAAAAGTGGGGCGCCAGAAATGCAATAAAATAATAAAAAAAAAAGAGCTTCGACCCGAATGCCTCTTTGACGTCGTGACAAACGTCTCCGCCGTGAAAGGGTATTTGCGACGGGGGGGGAAGGGGCCCGACGAAAACGGAGCGGGTAAGAGTGGGACAATGGGGACTCATCGTCCGCTTTGTGGGATCCTCTCTCTCTCTTCCTCGGGTCTGGTTGGCTGCTCTCTCCTGCGGCGGTCGTCCCTCCCCCCTCCCATTGGGTGCGCGAGAGCGGCGTGCAAAGGTGGCGTCATCGGCTGCGGCGTCGTCTTAGAAGTCTGCAAACTCCTTGGCACACTTCTCGGTCGAGGAGATGCGCAGGGCCTCTTCCTCATACTCGTCAAAGTTGCTCGTGTCTCCCGGGCCTTTGCACTTGGGGATGAAGGGAGCCTCCACCTGAGAAAAGGGCGAGAAAGAGGCAGACGGCACTGAAAATGGCTGGCACAGTGGCCGGGTGATTCACACAATAAAACTGTTGTGCCAGACTCGCACGACAAAACTCGGATGTCTCATTCGCGTGACAAAACACGGATGTCTCACTCGCGTGATAAAACTCGGATGTCTCACTCGCACAATGACACTCGCGTGCCGGACTCACACAATGAAACTTGGATGCCCAACTCACAGAATGAATGAAGCTCACATGCCCAACTCACACTTATGCTCACAAACAAAACTTGCATGGCAAAACTGACAAAGAAACCTACACCCCTCAGTCACAATGAAAATAAGCGACACTTGGGCATTTGGACGGGCATTTTACATGAGCTTGAAAGGAAAAAGGTTTGTGTTTAGAGCCTTTATTAGTGCTCATATTGTCACAGATGAAGGCAACGAGACGATGAGTATTGAACTGAAAATAAAGGTTTAATTAGCAAACTTGCGTCAGAAAAAAAAAAAGGAAGAACATAAGTTGAGAAAGCAGCAGCAAGCGTGGACGACGGCACCAGCAAGCGCTGGTGCGTCGCATCACAGCTGGCTATTGTGAGAGTTAATCAGTGTATGAATCTGCAATACCCAGCTCGGCTTCTGTGGTGTTTGGCTCGAATACATGTGTGTCTGGCAACTTTGGGGGTCTCAGTTCTGGAAAGTTTGCAATGCAATGCCAGGCCAGGCTGCTACATAGGCTGTCTCAAGCAAGTCATTCACATGTTCGTGCTGCTCTTCGCGACTTCAGCAAACTATAGGGGCGCGCACTAGTTAAGCAAAATGGCAGAAGGAGGTAGCTTTCTTCATTCACCATGCGGACCACCATGAATTTCTTGCACTACAGCGTAAAATCTGTTACATGTGAAAGCAAAGCAATTTTTCGACGGCAGAAACCTTCTAGTCAATGCATAGGAATGACACGGCGGAAGCATAAAAATAATTACTGGAAACAATGTTTGTTTCTATGCTGGCTATGAGAACCAAGCAGCGATAGCAGACGACAGAGTCGAAATGACCTCCTCTCTTGACCTTCTCAGCATTGCTGCTACGCGGCGTCGATTTCGCTGGAGTTGCCAATAAAGTAATAGTTCAGCCTTTAGAGCATGCGTGACTCCTTAAAGGGTAACTGCAAAGAAAAAAGAAGTTTTTTCTTTTTAAACAGCCTAATTGGGGCAAGCATGTCACAAAACAAATGTTCCGCGAAAAAAAAAAAAAAATTTTTTTAGCAATATTTACGTTACAGGACGTAATTTAGTCGGAGTCAGAACCTCTCCACATTTGAAACTCCCGCTCTTTCGGCCCCCGCAGAGGAGAAGTACACCCCGCCCCTCACTTTTGGATTTGCTCTTGGGTTGACTTGGCTGCAGAGTTCAACGACGCAGCGCCTCGACTACCGGTAAGATCTGGCAACAACGCACGTTAAACATGGTGCCGGTATTGTTTTGGTTTAATGGGACACGAGAAGCTGCGCGGTTTGCAAGCACATAGCGAGGACGTGACCGGAGAAGTGCCCCTGTGATGTTCCCGGAAGACGGAAAGTATCATTCGTAATCGTCATGTGTGCTTTGAAAGTGAAGGGAGTCACAGGATCCATGAGTGCGCAACCACAAGCCAACGTTCACGACACTGCTGCATTGACTTTGGCGATCTCGTTCTGTCTGGCGGTGTGACAAAGAACTGAAATGTTTGAGGTGTGTGTGGTGCGGTGCTTGGAAGTAGACATCCACACTAACACGGAGCACAAATTGGTTGTTGTGGGGTTGAGGTTCAACAGGTTCAGTCCCGTCGTCGTCAGCTGATCCAGTCAAACTGGTCCGGGAGGACGCAGCGAGTGTTTTTAAAAGTAAATCTTCCTTCATTCCGTTTCAAAGTGTGGAAGATTCTCGACGCGTACCGTGAGTAAAAAGCTGCAGGCGTTTTCAACAAAATTAGGTTGTTTTAATTGAACAATGGACTCCGAATTGTTGTCCTAAATCTGCCGTTTTTATGCTTCGTGTTGTTGGACTGCGTTTGCATAGCAACGTGTTGCGCTCATCGTGCAGTGTGAAAAAATTTGGGCAAGATTTCCTACCTGCCCACAGATGCATGAACTGTTACCATTTTTTACGTAGTGAACATAGTGCTTTTTATTATTTTGGGAAGAGGCGTTGTGCATTTATTACGGTAAAATCACTTGAGAGTTCAGAAATTGGGGAGGGCAAGCAAGCTTTCCGAACTTTGTCTCTTTGCTCTCTGGCATTGCCCTAGTTTCAAGTTGGAGTTTCAGAAGACATACCTACTAGCAGCCAGAAGGTACAAACTGCTCTAAAGCAGGTAAAAGACTAGGAAGTCGGGACGGTGCGGACTCCTGTGTTTCGCGCTTTTTGCAAGGTGACTGGGGAAGTGCTTTTGCAAGGTACACGGAATATGCAACCGATTTTGTTATGCCCGCCGTTTACGTCTCTTCAGCGAAACAAATAAAGATAATCTACAAAGCTGCAATCACAAGCCGAGATTTACGATAGCAGTACACATTCATTCAAACAACTTTACGTAAGATGGTTCGGAAGCCGAGAAAAAAAATCTGTCGTAATTCGGACGTCCGAAGGCTTCTGCGGACAGTTATTACGTAATAACCTGCTGCGTTTTTTTATGTAACAGCTGTGTCTAGTCGCAGACATTAGGTGTACCCGGTGCGAAACTCGACAGCCTCCGGAGCGATATGACGAGAACGTAACTCGACACGTTTGTCGGTACGCGAATGCCCGATTGCCTCCAGCCAAATAGCATTGCTTTCGGGGCAACATGGCTGCTGGAAGGCTTGCTGTCGGGATCACTCATCAGATATCTCTGAAAAATCAACATTTGCACGTGCAAACAAAAAAACAAAAAAAAAAAGCATGTTAAGCAAGCATAGAGGAAAACGAAAGAACGGCGCCATGAAAGCCAAAACCCCGCGTCGCTTCCTATCACTAACACCTGCGACAGCTGCTAAACACACACTACTTCACTTCAAGAAGTCTCACTCAAGCACCTGGGTCAGCATGAAACACTGATCACTTCGGCGAAACGACTAGCCGAGGTAGGCGAGACAGGCGAGAGCAGAGACTTCGGCGGCCATGAGAGAATGGCGAAGCTTTTGTTTGTTATGGTATGAATCCAAACGGAAGTGCCCGTCTTGTAAACCTTTTGTAAAGAATAATAACTCTCATCACATGGGTTATTCTTTAAACCAGGGTGTCGAACTGGAACCAAACCGTTAAACCCGAGCCGGAACTTAACCGGAAAAAAAATAACGGTTACCGGCTCATGTCAAAACGGTTCGGCCACGCGCTGTTGACAATGAATGTGCTATCAATGCCATTTGTTTTTTAAGTGCCGTCAACTGACACACACCTCGCTTACATATTTTTCTTCTCCACTCAGTCTTAGGAATAGTATAAACGCTGCATCCATGAATCTTGACAAACGCTGCATCCATGAATCTTGACATAGGAACCAGTATTGCGCTGGTCGCGGCTTGCACGGAAAAAAATAAATTGGAAGGCTGTGCAAAAAAAAAAAAAAATCGCGTCACGGGATTTTATTTTCCTACCGTTCTCGTAAATCCTAAATGCTGCTGTGTGCTCATTTCATAACACGTTTCTAAAACGCGTGAGTTCTTGAAGCTTGCTTCCATCGGAATGAGAAAAGAAAAGGCTGTGGAGTTTGATAATAATGCATCCGGTTTCGTATAGGCACTTAGAAGCTAACATATTTGTGAGACAGCAAACTCTTCTATTTTAATATTTATCCTATTACGTCCTTCTGGCGTTGCGTTCGGTGAAGTGTTTTTCATATTCCGTATCTTGTTTGATGAAAACTTCTTTAAGGGTCTAATTTGAGTTACCGAAGGCTAGTTCAAATAAAGAAAGCTGTATTTTCTCCCCACTGTTCCTTCAATTGCTTACACGCCGAGGTGGCGGGATAGTTAGCGAATTCTACTTGTAAGTGGGTTTGTAAGGAGGTCGCGGATTTGACAGCTACTGCGTCGGACCCAATTAGATGAAGTCCGAATGCGTAAACGTCGGTGAGGTAACCTTTGAGTGCACATAAAGAAACTATTCCTGGTAGAAATCCCTGAGCCTTACACTACGATGTATCCCGTTTCGTATGTGCTGATTTCAGATGTTTTATTTGTAATTTATTTTGATGTTGCAATTTGTCATTTATAATTTCCGAACCGGTTCGCGAACCGGTTCAGCGCCCCGAACCGGTTCGTGAACCGGTTCGCGGATCGAATTAATCGAACCGGAACTAAACCGGAACAAAATTAATTTACCTGAACCTGAACCGTAACCGAACCCGTATTTTTTTCGGTTCGACACACTGCTTTATACGTAAAGATAGGCTGCTCAAAAGGAAATTACAACATGTAACAAACGTTTAACAACCAAGATCTAAGCTGTCAATCAATCTCTTAGCCAATGAGAAGTATAGCAGCCAATGGGTGCTAAACGTCACGGAACACCAACTTTGTGGTGTGCGATTTAAAACGGACAAAATAGCTGCAAACTAAAATCAGTCTCCCGCAATAAATATTGCTGTAAACCGTTTTTATTTCTCGAGGAAACATTGGTTTTTGACATGCTTGTCCAAATTAGGCTGTTAAAAAAAATTTTTTTTCTTTGCAGTTACCCTCAGGAACCATAACATAAAGTGGCGACGAGGATGTTTTGGAGCTGACTGACGAACTGATGTACGAGAGTTCCGGAAAGGTTAGTGAGACGCCGAGTGGTTTGACGGCAGCGACCGAAGCCACCGAGGAGCTCAACAACGCAACCAACGATGAGGAAACCATGGCCAGGATTGGGCATACGCAACATTTCGACTCGTCTCTGGGTTCCTGGTCTGCATACGAGAAGAGACTGACGTCGTTTCTGAAGGAAAACTGGGTGCCGGACGCCGACAGGGTGGACGCCGTCTTAAGCCTAATTGGGCCTACGACATACAACGTCCTCAAGTCGCTGACAGCTCCCGCATTTATTCTGGATTATTCTTAGATTATTCTGGCCTCCTTATTTTTACAGTGAAGCTGTTAAGAGCTAGGTTCCCCAGGATCGTGTCCGTGTATGTCGACACAAACCTACCCGGACAGTTACTGCCATCTATAAGCGACGGTGGCAAGCACACGAGTATGGTTTCCACCGTCGTTCGTAGATGGCGGCAACCTTTCCATCCATAATTGAAAAATGGATAGTTGGGCGCGTTGGTGGGAATTCATCGTAGGAAACAGCGCGAAAAACAGACGACGACGAAGAAGAAGCACACAGTGTATCGAGTACAGCTCCACTGGTCCTCCTTCTTCACGAGAGTGGAAAGGCTGAACGTTTTTTTACATTCGAGGTAAGAATAAACACGAAACATCTAGGTGCACGGAGAAGCGTTTCTTTTCGATCATGCACGCGGCAATATGATGTAATCGAATTTTCATTGACATAACCACCAATGCGGGTCATCTGAAGGGATGAATAAATGGCAACACAAATTTACCTGCCGGTCGCAATAACAAGGCTTAATTCGAGAGGAAATCTGGGATTTCAAGAAAAAGATCCACGCAACGAATACAGTCAAACGCCTTTATTACGAAGACCGCAAAACCGGCGGAATTTTCCGTTGTACAGGTAACTTTGTTGTAGTAGTTAGCCGCAAAACTTAATTTGTGCCATCGCATATAGACGTACCTACGTGACATTCAAGGTGCTTTATGAAAAAGTATGGTGTCAAATATAGTACAAGCCACATCAGAAATTAGGTTTTGTACGCTGACAATTGTCTTATCAAAAAAGGGAACGGTGGCCGAGTTCGCTAGCGCATTGCAGCTTGGACCACGGGGGGGGAAAGTTTGTGCTGCAGAATCAGGCATCTTAGGCTCAATTACCACTTACTTCTGTTTCTTTTTCTTTTTTTTTCTAAATGAAAATTATATTGTCACGCGTTTGTGTACTGACCACTGCAAGACACAATTTAAAGACACCAGCTAACGGTCGTACTACCGTACCGCCAGTGGTAAAGTTTGCCATCTACAGCCGGGCACCAGGCGCTCCTTGCTGCGGACTAATTTACCACTGTCCAAACTTCCAGACAACAAACTCAACTGACTTGCCAAAACGTGAATCACAACCACTGCTAGACCACCGACATCGACCCCCCATCACGCAGCAAAGGAGAGGCGTTCGCCGACCAAGTGAATATGGCCTTTCTAAAATCGGGTGGCCACTTGCGCCGCCACGTGTCATTCAGAGGAGGCCTTCGAAGCAGCGCAGCGGGCGTGGCAGCACGGCAAAATCGGCCAGGCACTCGGCCCGTGACAGCTGCAGTGCTCGTTGCAGCGAGGAGCGAGAATAGGGAGAGGCGCACACCCGAGCCGACCAAGCCCTTTTGCACATCTGTGGGGGGGCACGTTTCGTAGCATTAGCTACACTGGCCGAGGTTGAGCAGTTTCGTGTGGCCCTCATAATGAGCCGTGCTCATTATGCGAGCCGCGCTCATTATGCGGAGCGCGCTACGGCAGCGGCGGAGCTCCGCATAATGAGCATGGCTCGCAAAATCAGCACAACTCATTATGAGAGCCACGTAAAGTTGCCGCTGCTCCCGCCTCGCCTGCCTCGCCGGTCTGCGCATTCCAGAGGAGTGATGTCATAGCTGTGCGCCTCCGTTGCGCAGTAGTCAAGTCCGACGCTGCACCGGAGCCGCTTGATAGCGCCTCTCATTTTGTGCGCATAAGCTCACGCTACGTATATCCTGGCATAGCCGAGCTAAGCCACCACAATTTTTTTTTCTGTGCGGCTCTACTTATTTCGCATAGACTTTGGAGCCACGGGTAGTCACAGATCATGTTTCCTCGACCGCATATTATAGCTCCAAGGCAGAACAATTTGGGACTCAGATCAAGCAGGATTGGGAATCAAGGATCCTGAGGAAGATCGGCGCATCGGCTGAACGAATGCCAAGAAAGGATAAAAATGTTGAGACTGCCCACCCACTGAAACATTGTGCCCACTGAAATACATTGTGATGACGTGACTCAATGTGGAAAAGAAGATGGAAAAGAAGAAGGGCAAGTCAACCCATGGATCGGCCCAAAGGGAGAAAGGAAGATGACGAAAAAGAGGGATTTTGGAGTGTGTGCTCGGAGAGCGTGCAGAGGACTGGCGGAAGAGAACGTGCAGAGAGCGGAACGACACCATCGGCCAGGGAAATCGGCGGCCTCCTACTGCTGACCAGCAGCCTGTTCCAGCGAGGGCAGCGCATAGAAACCTACGCTGCCCGGCTTCCTACTGCGCGAGCACTGGTTGCGGTGACTCTTGGAACCGCCGACGGAAGCCAACCGCACCCGCTCCTGACTGCCTGCCACAACCGTCGGCCGACAACGACAGCCCCAGACAGAACACCCGCTGCTGCGCATGGTGACTCAAAGACATGGTGACAGTTGCGTTTTCCTTCCTTCAATTTTTTTTCTACTAAGTTTTCCTTTTTTTCTTTTAGTATAACCATATGAGCTCTTTGATTTCTTTTGTAAATACATGTTTTAAGAGAAACGAAGGACATTGTATCTTGTCAATTATTAACCACAAAGAACCCTGTGACATACATTTTTCTTTCTTAACATACTCTCGTTTGCACAGCTCCTTACAAATACGCCGACATACACACAAATTAAGAAAACGAGTGCATGCATTGCCCGAACAAAGCGATGAAGAAATAAAAAAGAGTCGTATTGGAGCAGAGTGGCTCGTAAATCAACGGCACAGCAAAACGAAAGCAAACATTGTCGGTTTCGGGTCTAAATTATTTTTTAGTGTGCAACCTTGTCTCTAGACGGCGTTACGTGACTATGTTGCTGCATAAAGGCTTTCTATGCAGCACTATATTCACATAGTGCCATCTAGACACAAGGTTGCACACTAACAAATTATTTGGACCCAAAACTGAAAATGTGCGGCGTGCCAACGGAGGTTGGCACAGCGGCGGCATCAACCTATGCTACTGCCGCAATAGTACTTCCGTTTCCTATGTGCGTCGCCTGAGAGTGTCTATTTACGTAAAAACAATCACTTTTCACCTAAAAAAAATCCCTAATGCCAGTGTTTTTTGTTTTGTGGGGCCACACAATCGCTTCGTTAAACAAAAATATTTGTTAGACAAGATTCTAGTAGTCAAAGAAACTGGCTGGGACAGTTTACTTCGTTAAACAAGCGCTTTTGTAGTAGAGGCATTTGACTGTACCCGCATTACAAGAATGCAAGGAATGAACACACATAATTTTGTTGGGATGTTTCATAGTTCATTTGAACATCACTTTGGACAGAGCTTTGCAAATATCCTGGCAGAAAGAAGTTTTACCCTGTTCTGCCTAAATTCCCAAGATCAATAGAATGACTAAATTTCTCGAATACCAAATGCAAGATGTGAAACCATGGTTCTAAGCCCCCCGGCCTGTTTTTCACTCAATTCAAGACAACCAGGGTCGTACAATGTCATGAGGTGTGAGCAATGCTATTGAGATGATCGCAAGTAGGGAGCCTTCATGTGCACTTTGCTAGGGTGATGCCACCCTTTGTAATACCACTCGCCGACAAACCAGCAGCCATTTTGGTTTGGCGATAATCCGTGGGCTTATAACCCTCCTGGAAACAAGCACCTTATCTCACAAGTTCGGAGCAGCGTTATGGAACCCACGGAGGGAGGATTAGCATTTCCCACCTCGGATGGGAGGACCCATGGACACAAAGGCCACTTTCCGGCGCACCGGGAAACAATGAGGAACAAAATGGCGGTGGATGAGGGTGTGGGAAAGGGAAACAGGCAGTTGGCATCACCCTATGCGAAGCGCACATGAAGGCACCCTAATCGCAAGTTTGTGTTTCAAGCTGAAATAAATGCAGATTGATTTATTGATTGGAGAGCCATTCCCCTCACCTCCTTCTTGTAGATGGCAATCCAGTCGGTGGTGGCGAACCACTTGTGGTTCTTGATGTCGTTAACCCCGTTCTTGAGGTTGCCAAAGCGCTTGGTCAGGTCCACCTGAAGCAAGTTCCGCAGCAGGTCCTTCAGGTCAGACGTGAAGTGTGACGGAAAGCGCACCTGCAAAAGGAGAGAAACGGGCGTCAGCTCGGCCGACAGACTGCCGACCAGTTAGCTCGGCACACTTCCAACGAGATGGCGACACTTTCGAATTAAAGGTCAACCGCGGCGGCATTGACGACGAATGATACTACGATGCACGCCAAATTGTTGATTACCATTTTTTTCTGGTGTATAAGTTGCCTTTTTTTTTCCGCTACAAATTTCTGTCTGTGGTTTGCTTACGCCGGTACGACTTTTTTGTGTTTTTTTTTATGAAGTGTGGACTGCCGCACAAAGGTTCATTACTAGTAGCTCCACAGCTTGAGAGAAAGCACAAAATGAAATTGAAACTGGAACTGTAAATATTCGGCTATCCACGAAGTGGCACATTAAAGGGGTACGGAAACGAATATTGAAATATACAGATTTTGTTTGGAAATGAGTCAAGCATGACGGATAATAACCGTAAATGATAATCGCATGTTTTGTATTTTGAATGACTGGCTATATTTTTCGTTCGAAGCGGTGCGCTCGAAGACAAGCAAACGGAGAGCGCGATAAATCATAAAATATTTGACGCAAAAAATAAAAAAAAAGGATTCTCCGCATTTGTGACGTAGCAAGGCTGAAGTGGTTATGAGCTTTGCCGTTGATGGTGTTGTCATCGTTGTGGGGGCATCAATAGCGACAATGCGTTACAACCGAGCCGTTTCAAGTACTTGTGGGGTGACGAGCGTGTGACTGGACCAACAAGCACGTAGCTTCCGCAGCACTATCAGCTTAGGGGCTCCAAGTTTCGAGTGACGGGCTAATCTTCTGGTAAAAGAATGGCGGTGTCCGGGTACACAAACGAGGGTCCGAAATAGCTCCTTTCTGTCTTTTTGAACTGTTAAGTACAATGCGCGATTTGTGAGTTAGGGAGGAAAGCGAAGAAGAAGTTGAAAGATTGTTTCATGACCACTTTAAACAGTTGAGCGTACTTCCAAAGAGCAGCACTGTTCCGATGTTTAGTGTGGTACTTGCTACATCATGACCTATGTAGCAAGATCCCTAACATTGCTAGATTACCTCCCGACTAAGCTTTACAGGCATCCACCAGGTGCACATCGAAAGATTGATTAATTAGCTTTAAATTTAGATTTTTTTGTGCCTTTCAACAAAATACTAGTGTTGTTGAGGTAATGCAGCAACATGCATCACATTTAAGCTAGAAAATGAGCACTGGAATTCCGTTTTCTGAGCTGGCAGTCGGTTGGGGCTTGGCTTCTGGCAGCGCAAAGACAGTCCAAAGCATAGATTCGTGGCTGCAGTGCCGCGCCGACCATACAAAGAATTGCATGTAAATCGAGATGCTTTTTAAAATATATGTCACCAGTTTGTTTTCTATCGAAAGTAAGGACCGTGTGAAAATCAGGATATCTGCAGACGATTGTATAACAGGGTAGTGATTCAAATGGTGACCAGAAGACCACGTAAGGTGAGACGAGAGTCTTTCAATTCTTTTTCTTATTTTTCATTTATCGTGCTGAAATTTAGTAGGTGATTTGAAATATGCTATTACTTTTCAGACAGCTTTAGTAGCTCCTAAGTTACCACTAAATTTGTAATTTTAATTAGGCCCTTTAACGGGTCGGTTAGCATAAAATTCTTCAGAATATATCAGAAATTTTCATAGAATTGCATTCACCAAGACATGATTTGTGCGGTGATGCTATTTTAAGCCTGATTTAACAATACCACATCGGTGAAAAAACATTTGCAACAAAGTTGCACAAAACGGAGGCTACATCTTTTTGAGACTATAATTAAAGGGAAGATGGGGCACATCTACATTTAAAAAATAAAAACGCTTGAATTGCGTTCATTTGGCCTTTAGAATAACAGATATCAAAATTATATTTCAATGCGACGCGCCGGAGAGCCACAAGAGCAATTTCAAAATAGGGCTGAAGCCCCGCCCCCCTAGCCTTGGGCAGCCAAAAGAGCCGTCGATGACGTCATGGACAGCGACTGTCTTTCGCGTTTTTCTCGCGTTTAACAATACTTACGCAGCAAATGGTTTGGGTATTCGGGTTCACGGGGTAAAAATACACTAGAATTCACTTCTAACTCATTTTTTCCAAGAAGCTCCGTAGCTTCCCTTTAATTAAAATTATTGTACGACATATAAGGCAACAAAAATAGCATCACTGCACAAAGCATGTCTTGGTGAATGCAATTCAACAAATATTTGATATATTCTGAAGAATTTTATGCTAATGACTCATAAAAAGGACCTAATTAGAATTACAAATGTATTGATAACTCAGGATCTCATAAAACTATCTAAAAACTAATTGAATATTTCAAATCACCACTGAGAAATACATCAGTATACTACATTTCAGCACGATACATAAAAAAAAAAAAAGAGCTAAAGACCCTCGTCTTTTTGTAAGTCGTCTGCAAGTTGCCACCTCGCAACTAGCAGACAGCTTACGACGTGTGTAGGCCGTAAGCAGTACGGCAAACACACACTGCCATCTTTCTGGCAACGAGCCACTTATTTCGAGGACGACGAATCCAACGATGGGGGCGAGAGGTGCTTGCCTTTCCCGAGACGATCTTCTCGTAGATCTGTATCGGCTGGTCCGCAAAGAAGGGAGGGTAGCCGGCCGCCATCTCGTACACCAGGACTCCCAGCGCCCACCAGTCCACAGCCTTGTTGTAGCCCTGAGAAACAGGAAGCACGTGTGCATCACAAGGTGCGCACAGCTTGCAAACATAGTGGGCCTCGACGTAGGGTCGCTCTCACTCCGGTTTGGCTCCTATGTACTACACGTTCGTGTAGTGAACCGACACACTGCTGGTCAAGTTCACCTATTCACTTGGATCGACTTACTGTAAAAATAGGGTTGTAGGACGCACACGCAATACGAAAAATCAATTTTACAGTGCTCAGGAAAAAGAATAAACTAGACATTCAGACTGTGTTATTACTAAGTATCATTATATTACAGTCGTGGAGTGAACCAGAAACAAATGCCGAGTGAACTCGGTGGATGGTGTCACCTCGTCCGAGTCAACGTCTAGTGAGCTAGAGACGATTTGCAAGCGTTGCATAAAAGCCCTTGAGGTTATCACGAGAACTCTCCATCTCTTTACAACTTCTACTTTTAATTAAAGCTCACAAAACTCCCTTTCCCACAGTAGCACAGACAAAGAAGCATGGGTGATTGGCTTCCAGGATCGTAAACCTTTCTTCCCCCGCTGCAGTTGCTTCTAGCCTTTGCAGCCATTGAGCACTTCCGAGCATGTGCGAGGGTGCAGCTTTGCGGAGGGTGTGTGCGGGGAGAGTTCCCCGCCGTATACAAGGTGACCTTGACGGATTATGGGCGCAGGTGAGGCCTCGCCGCTCTGCCGCTCAGCATTGCACCTCAAACCCCTTGGTTCGAAACCTCATTTGTGTTATGCCACTCGCGATACACAATTATCTCAATATTGTGCAGCAAGAAAGACGGTCCTTGCTTAATAAAAGGATACCCTGAAGTGATTTCCACTTTCATTTTACTGTTGTGAAACATGGCAGACCTATGTTAGACAAAACTGATCTAGTCCTGGACCCTGGAAATGATTTTTCGACCCTGAAATGAACGAAACAAAAACGGAACGTATCGTTCCGGTAGTGTCACCTCGATAAAAAAGTGAAAGCCGCTTACAACTCCCTGTAACGCCGAATTAGAGCGCAGCTCTTGAGGAGGAGGAGGGAAGGGCGCTGGGGGGGGGGGGTTAGACTAACCAGGGGGGGGGGTCACGTGACCTTGGGGGTCACGTGACCCCCAATGCCGATGATGTCATCACTGACGTCACTGATGATGTCATCAGTGACGATGACTATGCGGGTAGCGATGACGTCATTAGTGACGTCACTGATGACTTCACCAGTGATGATGACGATGACGATGCGAATGTCGGGGACGTCCTCAGTGACGTCGCTGACGACGTCATCAGTGATGATGACGATGCGGATGCCGGTGACGACATCAGTGACGTCACTGATGACGTCATCAGTGATGATGACGATGCGGATGTCGGTAACGTCACCGGCATCCACATCGTCATCATCACTGATGACGTCACCGGCATCCACATCGTCATCGTCATCATCACTGATGACGTCACCGGCATCCACATCGTCATCGTCATCATCACTGATGATGTCACCGGCATCCGCATCGTCATCATCACTGATGACGTCACCGGCATCCACATCGTCATCGTAATCATCACTGATAACGTCACCGGCATCCACATCGTCATCGTCACTGATGACGTCATCATCATTGATGACATCATCACTGATGACGTCACCGGCATCCACATCGTCATCGTCATCATCACTGATGACGTCACCGGCATCCACATTGTCATCGTCATCATTGCTGATGACGTCACCGGCATCCGCATCGTCATCATCACTGATGATGACGTCCTCAGTGATGATGACGATGACGATGTGGATGCCGGTGACGTCATCAGTGTCGATGACGTCATGGGGGGGTCACGCGACATCGGCGGGGGTCACGTGACCTCGAGGAGGGGGTCGCGTGACCTCGAGGAGGGGGTCACGTGACCTCAGGGGAGTCACGTGACTTCGGGGAGTCACGTGACTTCGGGGGGTCACGTGACCTCGGGGGGGGGGGGGGGGGGGTCACGTGACCTCGGGGGGGTCACGTGCCCCCCCACGAAGTCACGTGACCCCGGTGGGGGGATCGCGCGGTGCGTTATGGGACATTTCCCATGATGCACCGCGCAATTACGCCGACGCCGACGGCGACGGCGACGCCGCTCAAGCCGGAAACGGGCCCCTAAGAGCTGCGCTCTAAAAGAAAAAAATCTGTATCTATCTCTCTTTCCTCTTCCCCCCTTTTTCACTCTCTCTAGGTACATGAGGTGCAGTAGCATCACTAGGTGGGGGGGACCGCCCCGGGTGCCGCACTCAGGGGGATGCAGCTGGGCAGTGAAAGGGAAGGGTTGGTGACACAGCGGGCCACAAGAGCGGGAAGGGGTGTAGCAGGGGGCAACAAGAGCGGGGGGGGGGGGGGAAGTCACGGCGGGCCACCACCCTGGGTACCACTGACCCTAGTCATGCCACTGATGAGGTGGGCATGCGTCCAGTGCCCCAAGGAGGGAAAGAGAAAGAAAAAGAAAGAGGAAGAAGAAGTGACACTTCAACCTCACAAGATACCAAATCTTCCTGGGGGACGACGCTTTGATTTCTGCTCAATTTTGCGAAAGAATGAATATTTGTCCCGAAAGCCCAGAAAAGTTAGGCTGCACATACAGTTGAACCTCGATTTTACAAAACCCGATTTTACGAATATCCCGATTTAACGAACGAATTCGGATTCCCCACGCAGCCTATGCACGAGGTCTCCCTTCCTCGATTTCACAAAGTTCCCGATTTAACAAAATAATTAGCGGGTCCCGGTGATTTCATTAAATCCGAGGTTCAGCTGTATACCAAAAACCCCCATGACGTGAAAATACCAACTTCCAGAAAACAGATCTTGAAACTGTCCTTAGCGCGTCCATTCGAAGGGCATGCGGCGAGCCATTCGCAAGTGCCTAGATTTTTACGGAAGCGGGACGCACAAGAATGCAACCACCGCTACAAAACTGCTAGGTAGTTGCAAACTGGCTGCTCGGGCTCTTTTTCAGTCTCTTTTCTCCAATCATATCCTATGATGGTACAGAAATGGGTACAACTGAGATCTAATAAGTCAGCTAAGGTACATCACGAACAAAAATAATGGAACTCATAAAACACGATACTTACATAGACTTTCAAACCAAATCACGGGGACAAAAACAATCCAAGTGACTCCCAGAGACTCCGCCACCAGGTTCCTCCGTTCTAGTCCGCTTCTCTCAGTGTGATTTTAATTAAAGAATAAGCGACTCTGCATCAAAAAATTATTACGGTTGTGTTTTGAAACTAATTTATTTATAACATAAGAGGGAAAAAACCCATTTTTTTTTTCTGCAGGTGTTAGCCCCAGTGGGCATCTGTTGTCTTTGCTGCAGACGAGAAATTTCCCCAGTGCAGTACCCCAGCTAACCTGCAGTCTTTAATGTGCCCCATGCAGTAGTGATGCACGACTGCACGCACGGTATGATGCTCGTCCAGATCGAAACGGGTAGAAATGAAAACCCAGGAATCCCATTAAAAAACAGTCAAGCTTTTGCTCCATGTGTTCTGAGTTGCGGTGCGCTAGAACACATGGCCTCATAATCTCCCCTCAGCATTGGGGTTGGTCAAAAAGACAAAAAAAGTGAGGAAAGTGAGGGCGTTCTCCCAGGGACGGGAAAGAGAGGCCCTCACCTTGCTGAGGATGATCTCCGGGGCCAGGTACTCGGGGGTCCCGCAGAGGGTCCAGGTCCTCCCCTTGACCCGCTTGGCAAAGCCAAAGTCCGTCACCTGCGGCCGGAAAAGTCATTGAGGGTAAGCCCGCTTGACAGAACTAGCACGGGTAAGCCCAAGGCCACATCTTTGCCTATGGTATTCTAAGACAAAGCTCGCAGACGTTTCTCGGTGCCCTAAAAGGCAAGTTCAGACATCTGACCTCGAGTGATATCGACCACATTACGACTCCTTGTGGTCTAATATGACATGTCGTGCGGACCTCAGTTGGCATTGCAACCAATTTGTCTCAAGCAGTCGTGAGTGGTTGCGACATACTCGTTTGCACTCAACTGCACATGTCTGCACCAGCCTTAATAGAGCCTGTCTAAAACATGGCCAACTTCACAGAAAGTTACAGTTACAAAAGTTGCATAGCATCAGTTTTGAAACCAAAATGAAATGACATGCTGCCCGTCAGAAGTATCGCTTTGAAGGGGTCAAATTTGGGGTTTTTACGTGCCAAACCAATGACAGGCATCTGGCACGCCCCAGCGGAGGACTGAGGATTCATTTGGACCACCTGGGAACCTTTTAATGTGCAACTGAATGCTCGGTTACATGGCACCATCTCCGCAATAAACCTCCGTCAGATTGCGAGCACCTCGGTCGGGATTCGAACCTGCCACCTGGAGGTCCGTAGGCCGGCGCTTTGCCTCGGAGTCACCAAAGCGACTTTGCTTTGAAGGGGAAAGCATTTTCATGATTTGTTATTAAATAAAAGATTGGCTGCATGTTTGGTCATCCTGCCAAATGCGTTTAAATGCAGCAGCTTTGTAAAATGGGGTGTGCCCTTAGCTCGGGTGGTGCCTAGCAGGGCCGTAACCAGGGGGGGGGTTAGGGGGTTCTGACCCCCCCCGAAATTTTTTTCTGGGTACGGCCCTGGTCGGTGCACTGGCAGCCAGCCGATTTTAATCTCTACCTCTGCGCACGCGCAGTGGCGCCGGTCGGCTACCGGGTACCAAACCGGGACCGGTTCTCCGGTTTGCTGTAACTCTCCATTATATGCCACCGATGCACATGATTCATAGGCGAAAATAAGACAATAGACACTTTCAAAATGGCCGCCGTTGTCCCCGAAAACCCCCCCCGAAATATTTTCTGGGTACGGCCCTGGTGCCTAGGGTGGGATGACCCTTGAAGAACTCTGTTTCATTATTGTTTTTGAAAAGCAATGCAGTCCTCTTCAGTATCGCCAATGAAGACCACACATCAAACATTATGACCTAGTTCTGTCTAAATGTTTCTTAAACAGGCCGGAAAACCTTGCAACTTGCCAAGTTGCCGATATCGGCTGACTCAAGTGGGCGAACTGAGGTGCACCCAACAGTGCAGTCAAGGCTACGGCGTGGGCTTAGCCAATATTGAGCTAAACGTCATCACCATTGCCCCTCTTTGCTTGTTTTTACTTCTCCGGGTAACCGTAATGGGTGACGATTTCCTCTCAACACTCGGAGATGTCCACGTGATTGGCTCGCCTGCGCAGCACGCTTCTTCGGAGTCGTTCGGCTGTCCCCGTGGTCCCACGGTTACCGCCGCCTCCCGCGTCACAACCGCCATCGTCGTCTCACCGTTTGCGATTATTGTCTCTCGGAGTATCGTTCACACTGCGGACACTATGTGCACAGACTTATGCCACAGTTGTGCAGCCTTTGTCGAATGTCGTAGACACCAAAACATGGTGAACAGTGCGGTGCAGACAACACTTGCGCCTGGCACACGCCCGCCCTAATCTAGCCCATTGTTTTTTAGAGGATCACGTGATATCTCATACCTTGGTAGCCCGAGGCCAATGTTGCCGGATAGAACCGAAGTTTCGGTTTCGATTTCTGCTTGCATTTAAAATTAGATTGAACAATATATATCCCAATTTTGGCAAAGAAAATGATGTAGTGTCTTTTACTAGTGTTTTTGTATGCGAAATCACTCATAACCCCGAAATCTTTGGATTTGGGCGGAGTTTCCCCCTAAGGCCCGTTCACACACTTGCAATTAAGTCGAATCGACTGACATAAGACTGGCTTTTAAGCCTCTTGAGACGTCTTAGGACCGGATGCGCTGCTGCGGAGAAGGTCCTAAACCGTCACAAGAGGCTTAAAAATCGTTCTTGTCTCGGCCACTCTTACTCAGTTGCAAGTGTGTGAACAACCTTTAGTTCTTTAGTGCCTGGGATGGCTGGGGCTCTTAGTTCAGGTGGTGCCTTGGACAGAGTTTTGTATGAAAACAAATTACGTCACACCACTGTCTCTTTGTGACGCTGAGTGTGCTTCTCTTCATTACCATCCAGGTACGAAGCCTTTGCGTTGAATTCTCTGGGTCACCATGAGAGGAGAAGTGTGCTTTCCTACCTTTCCCCTCCTCCTCAATCCACCCTCTTTCTATACGACCTGTTTTTGCTCCTTTCTTACCCTTAAGACACCATTCTGGTGCAACTGGCTTCATTATGAGGCATTATTGGAGGGCGTTGGGTTTGTACAAACAAATTTCATTAAAATAACTAATATATACATAACATTTTTCATTGAATACTACTGGAATATTAAAAAATACACTTTTCGTTAAACACAACTAGAATATAAGAACACAACATTTTCTACATCTTTGAGGAAACCTACTTCACTCACCAAAATTTCTCAAGAATAAAACAATGCAAAAAACATCAGTGTGACATTAGTAGGGTTGGAACTTGCTTGGGTGGTCCACTTTCCAGAATATATATAAAACAATGAGCTCGTAGAAATGAGTCCCTATTTATTAACAGTCTATGCTGCTATAAATATTGCCTAGAACCTCTTAGCCAAAGTGTTTTATCTTTGTCCACACAGCTAACTCCCAAGAGACTATTTCTGAATCATCAGCACCTTCAGTGAGTGGAACACAAAATTTTGGGAGCCGTAAGTGCTTGCAGACTCAAGGACGCACTCAAGGTCGCTTAGAAAGAGCCTAAATTGAACCCCTTTCAAGAGGCCATACTTGAGCCATGAGAACAAATACAGGGTGTTCCTTTCTCTTAATCTCTTAGAGGTGCCCTGTCCATTTTGGCTTTTTGTATTTTAACTACCAAACAAGCCGTAATCTCTGCTATAAACGGTGCACGTCCCACGCAATTAAAACTTGCTATATGCAAAGGCGTCGCGACTTCGAACAACAGCAAACAGACAGGGACGAGCTATCGTCTCTGCTCCTGTTTTTGTTCCCTCATCTATAGGCTTTTGCAAAACAGGTAGTGACTGTCCTGACCAACCTAATATTGAAGAGAATGATCACTCATTTGTTAGTGATACATAACTAGAAATTTTGAACGAGTTGGGAACTCGGGAGGCTCCTTTTGCTTCTACCTGCAATAGCGCCGAGACTTGTGATCCCAGTGCTCAGCACGACCTCTAAGTAGTCGGCACGCTACATGTCAGTGACACAGTAACAAACAGTAAACAAGTTATGAAAAAGATTGCAACATGGGTCTCTAGAAGAAAGTTTTTACTGTACTTTGAGATTTTATGCTATAAAAACAAGTTAATTTTTAGCCTTAAACTTTAAAAAATTGATATCTCTTGTCAAAGCAATTTTCTTGTTTCTTAGTGCTATCTCACGAAGACACTATAAAATTTACTTTTCTCTACAAAATGCATAAGCAATGTCCAATTTTCAATTTCACTTCAAAGGTATGGTCCTAGGAAAGTAAGATTGTCGCTGTTGCTACATAAACTGCTCTATATTTTCTTGCTGGTAAACACCCAGTTTAAAAAAAAGCAAGATGCCAAAAATGAGGGAAACGAAAAATGGGGTATAAACACCTCCATCCACCCGTCCCTTTTCCCGGGTTTTTCTTTGAGACAAATAAAAGGGGTGATGCAACAGTTCTTGTACTTTGCGCAAATACCACTTAGAACGGATCCTTGACGTTAATGGCCTATGAAACATGCGTTTGTTTTTCACCCCACGCAATAGAAGCCCCAGAAAAAAATTAAAGAAAAAAGTGAAAGCCGCTTACAACTCCCTGTAACGCCGAATTAGAGCGCAGCTCTTGAGGAGGAGGAGTGAAGGGCACTGGGGGGGGCGTTAAACTAACCAGGGGGGGTCACGTGACCTTGGGGGTCGCGTGACCCCCAATGCCGATGATGTCATCACTGACGTCACTGATGACGTCATCAGTGACGATGACGATGCGGGTGCCGATGACGTCATTAGTGACGTCACTGATGACTTCACCAGTGATGATAATGATGACGATGCGAATGTCGGTGACGTCATCAGTGACGTCGCTGATGACGTCATCAGTGATGACGATGCGGATGTCAGTAACGTAATCAGTGATGATGACGATGACGATGCGGATACCGGTGACGTCATCAGTGATGATGACGATGACGATGCGGATGCCGGTAACGTCATCACTGATGATGACGATGTGGATGCCGGTGACGACATCAGTGACGTCACTGATGACGTCATCAGTGATGATGACGATGACGATGCGGATGTCGGTAACGTCATCAGTGATGATGACGATGACGATGCGGATGCCGGTGACGTCATCAGTGATGATGACGATGACGATGTGGATGCCGGTGACGTCATCAGTGATGATGACGATGACGATGTGGATGCCGGTGACGTCATCATTGATGATGACGTCATCAGTGATGATGACGATGTGGATGCCGGTGACGTCATCAGTGACGATGACGTAATCGGGGGGTCACGCGACATCGGCGGGGGGTCACGTGACCTCGGGGGGTCACGTGACCTCGGGGGGTCACGTGACCTCGAGGAGGGGGTCACGTGACCTCAGGGGAGTCACGTGACATCGGGGGGGTCACGTGACCCCGGTGCATCATGGGAAATGTCCCATAATGCACCGCGCGAGCCCCCCACCGGGGTCACGTGACCTCGGGGGGTCACGTGATCCCCCACGAGGTCACGTGACCCCGGTGGGGGGCTCGCGCGGTGCATTGTGATCCCCCACGAGGTCACGTGACCCCGGTGGGGGGCTCGCGCGGTGCATTATGGGACATTTCCCATGATGCACCGCGCGGTTACGCCGACGGCGACGGCGACGGCGACGGCGACGCCGCTCAAGCCGGAAACGGGCCCCTAAGAGCTGCGCTCTAAAACAAGCAGTGTTCACCCCCTCAACTCGCACGAGCGACCACATGATCTGGAGCTGATTATATGCCGCCAATGTTGATTATAGCCACGCGCTGGGGTTGGCAAAGCACAGGACACGCGCTGAGTTCCAGACATCGGTATGGTTCGGCTATTGTCGTCGTTGCAGCGATTGGACACGGGCCACTACCCGAATGCTTCTCGAGCTGGTAATTATCACGAGCCCAAATCCAGTGCGAGTGCCCACGCAACGCTCGGGTCCAATCTATGAACCACATTCAAATATCGTCATTGGGGTGTACTGCGATCCCCACGTTACGCCATCAAATTTCGCAAAGGAGAGATTGAATGAAAATGATCGCTTTTGTCCTTGAAATTACACCGCAACAAAAGGAGTTTCTTGGCCAATGGCATTGCGTGCGAGTATCCTTGAGTCCCACTAGTGCCAGTAAGCTTGTGTAAAGTGAAAAACATTCCAATTGAAAATCGTTGCACCGCTCCTTTAAGCAATCGACCGGCCACCCAGCTCAAGCGGGAAAGGATGCAGCATCGCTCACCTTGATGTAGCCCGTGTGGTCAATCAGAAGATTCTCGGGCTTCAAGTCTCGGTAGATGAGGTCTAAAGAGTGCAGATACTGGAAGGCCAGCACAATCTGAGCGCCGTAAAACCGCGCGTGCGGCTCACTGGACCCAGCGGCGATGCCGAGAAGATAAGGAGAAACGGCAAGGACGGTACATTAGAGAGGACCACCCCCCTCGTCGTCAGCGAGACGCCCCTTCACAACTATGCTGCCCAGAGCGTCTCTCCTACTGGCATGTTTTCTGCCTCTTGATTTAGTCACTCTTGTTGTCCCACCAGCGAAGCCACAACCGTGTTCTGCTACGAATCGCCACAGTCCCGGTACAGTCATGTCTCGTTGATAGGGACACCTCAGTTCCCCCAAAAATTGTTTGTACTAATGAGACGAAAATTAATGCACTTACCCAGTTCATCCCTGAAAAGGGTAGAGACAGCTGTAAAAGCATAGGATTGCTTTTACAGCAGTTTATATTGCGGGTTATTCACATTAATGAAGTCCATATTAACGAGACATCCCTGTAGTGGCACAATGGCGAAGCTGGATACAGCAAACACCTGTTCTGGTATAGCTAGCCCTGCAGTCAGCCAGTCTACAAAGACACCAGCGGTTGGTTACAAACTGGAACAACGCAGCTACGACTGTGACTGCTCATCCGCTTCGTCGGTGCTTCTACAACCTGCTTGCAGGATCGCGACTAGCCCGTAACGGTACCGAGTAGCGCCGATCGCTGATTTCGTCACCCTTTTTGAAGACAGTCCGAGGCACGGGCAACGAAGGACAATAAACGAGTATGTCGCAAACTCGGCTGGTGCACCGTATTGTACCTGCACCTCCAAAATCCCCGACAATCAAAAGTTTTGTACAAAGTTTCCCAACTGTCGAAATTCCCTGGCCATAATTCGGTGGGATGTGGCTGAAAACTGTCGGGGTTCCGGAAAGGATTCGAGCCCCCAATGACTGCAGCAAACGACGTGGTTTACGGTGCAAGTAAGTTGGCAACCTCTCAAGGAATTGGATAGACTTGCCCAGAGCCTTTGTCACTATGAATACTGGGGCCCTAATCTACAGGGCGGGACTAAGCGGATGCACTGCCGCCTGCCACGATTGGCCGGCTCCGCACCGCTGACCAATCGCAGCGGGCGACAATGTTCCGGTCCCTTGGTCCCGCCGTGAAGATTTGGGCACCACGTCTCTTGGCTAGATTGTCAAAAAAGGTCCCTGACGAAGTCAAAGTTTCTTTGCAACCTTTGCTCTGCATTTAATCAGCTCTGCTGCATTTCAATTGTTTTTGCCGGCGTCTCAAGTTGGCAGACACCCTAGGAAGCTAACCCTGCCTAGAAAAGAGGTACAGGAAATGAAAATGCACCATTACCACCGTTTCCCTGCAATGCAGTAACACCGGGAAGCGAAAAAATATTGCAAATGGGCACGCCCTCGCATCATGCTCACAGGACAGCGAATCGGCTTAACTTACGCAGTTAAATATCACGACCACCTAGGGCTTCTGGCTTTTTTTTGCAACAGATCAGGAACAAACAAAAACAAAAAGAACTACACGCTTATCCTCACGGAAGTACTTGGTCATATTATGTAATTAAAAATAGTACTACTACACCTCTCAAACATAATATGAAGGTACCATAGTTTCTGCTTGAAATTAGTTTATTCGTGGAGCTTCAATAACTGTTTTTGCATTAAACAAACCTGGTATGCATACAGATTTTAGCTTGAACAATGCCCATAGACTTCATACAAAGAAAAAAAGAGGTTTCTGCTTCAACTATGTAATCTGCATAAAAAAAAGTTCCCAAACAAAGTTATCACGTCAAATAGACCTTAGTTGCAGTTTGGGGTAGTTTTTATCGAGGAATTTTTCTGCTCGCGGCGATTTCGTGGCAGTAAAATTGGTGCAGACTTACGAGGCCACATCTCTGCAAAGTAAACGCAAAAGGCCAGAAGCCCTAGTTACTGAGCTGTCGTGGTGCAAGCATTTGGAACTAGGATAGCGCTGTCCCCTTAATGTGTGCAGGAAGTTACGTCCTGTAGGGGCCAGCGTCACCACTTCACTGCTACAAAACATTCCATGCTTAACACGTTCCAAAAAAAAAAGGCTGAGGTTAATATTACTTCCCACCTCAAAAGTGTGCTTTGCTCTTCTGTAAACTGTGGCCACCAGCAAAGCGAGCGAAGTCTTTTCATGACCTACTTTGCAGCTTAGTATTTGGCTGCCAAGTGTTATAAACTGTGTGTTATAAAAGTGCAGTCAAATTAAATGTGGGTCCACCTTAAAAGTTTTCTATTTTTACACAAAGCTGTGACACGGCACAAAGCGATAAGAACACAAAGGTGTCAAATTGGGCACAGTCGTTTATTTGAGGGGGTGTAGAAAACTTTTGTGATATCTTAAAGAAAGTATTAAGAGATTTTGCTCAAGTTTTCAACAAAAATGCTTGAGGAAAACTGTAATATAGCTTTGCTGCAAACAATGCAGCTAAGGACACGGAAAAGGCATAGGATGCCTAGGAACCCAGGGGTTCCGAGAGTTCTCAACTTTAAATATATTTCAGAGGATCTGAGCCACCAATTGATGCACGACTATGAGGCAAACACTCCCTATTATGTGCATTATTGTTTATAAGGTCCACAGGCTTCTGCATTGCTTTACTGCATCTATGCTGAGACAGAAAGGGGTTGTTCGCCCATCAATCAAGAGAGATATGGTATCCTCAAGAGGGAAAATCTTGGAAACCCTTGCCACTGAATGGTATGCTCTGGATCTGTAAACTTTTCAACTTGTGCAATGCAAGAGCCGTCGTCACAAAACACACGAATCTCTGCCTTTAACTCTAGAGCTCCATCCAGGACATGCTCTGAAAGAATAACATCCCTAATACAGATATTGCAAGCTGCAAATTTAGCAATAGTTCTTGATTCCGTTTTACAAGCCCTCTCTCTGCCTCTCAATTGTTGCATAACCGAAGCTTGTTTACTTCCGACTATGGCTATGTCTTGAACACCAAGGTGGCTAGGCTTCACTGGCTGGTGACCCGATCTCGTTTGGCGAATATTCAGCCGAGCAGACAAACATCTCGTTGGTAACCTCAATGATGCCTTGGTGCTGCCAACCATCAACAAACATAGTTTTCAACAGGTGGTATGGCTAAAGCATGAGCAGGTTGCTAATGAGGGAGTTCTACCAGCAAAAACAGTCAGCTGAATGACTGCCTAAATTTTAGATGTCATATAATGAAACTAGTTGTGAGCAGATGGCCATGGAAAAAAAGTTGCAGGCGGGGAGCCATATTACCATAATTCCCACGTTCCATTGCTACAACAATAGCAGGATCATTATCTGACACAGCCGAGGTTAAAGCGAAAATTAATGGCAGCATTCCTTTCTTTTCCCTTTTTGGCTACTCTCAAACCTGTACCTCAACAAGCCAGATTATGTGGATTATGTTGGCAAGGGATAATGTTTTTTTGTGTGTGGATCTTGACAAGTTGAAGAAGAAGAGTGAACCTCGTAAAATGCCCTTTTTGTGAAAACAAGCGTATGTAAACAAAAACTGCTAGCTGTACCCACATTTTCAGAACGTGAGGCGATTATTTTGAGCAAAATTTCCAGGCATCGCATGTACCGTGTTTGCAGAACGTGAGGCTACAATATTTTGAGCTAAATTTGTAGAAATTCTTTATAACTGTTGAATCAGGTGATGGCAACTTCTGGAACTGTGGAATTTGGTCCCAACTGCTAGTAGCACCATCGGGAGGTTAACGATGCCAAGTCAACTTCTGTGGCAAGAAAAACATGCTTATGTTTTCTCCCAAACACTCGGCATTAGGCAGGCTATACCCGAAGGCATTGAGTGGCCATGCCCTGAACACAGCTCTCGAGCAACCCTAGCAAAGTGACGCCATGAGTTCCAAACCTCTGTGACGCCATTTGCAGAATGCAACCTGCCCCGTAAGCGCGTAACGAGGGGCACTTCAAAATACTCACCTAAACCTGCCGCTTTTTCGTAGATGCGAGAACATCTCTCCTCCGAGTACATACTCGAGTACCATGTAGAGGTTTGAGTTGTCCTGCGCGAGAAAGAGCCATGCCAGAACACGAAACAGTCAACCAGAACAACTCAAAGCTAAAGCCGCAGTCACACTGCTAAAGCATCAATGACCGTCCTCTCACATCAGTCGTACAAAGACCATCTGCGGACGTGTGCAAAGCATACACATGTAAGGTTGAGGCGTGCCTGTAGATAATTCCATCATTGTGTCTGCAGCGAACATGGTGTCTTTTGCACAGGCAGCGTGAGTATGGCTTAATTGTACGGCCTAACACCAGGCAGATAATGCAAAACCTGCTGTGGATGGCAGTCATGCGAGCATGCACAGTGAGTAGTGGCTGCACGCAACCTACAGATTGACTACCATCATCATCGGCATCGGTTGTCGTATTTTAAAGGTGGCACCAGCAAAGAAGCATGTGTCGATAACATGAGCTCTGGTTGTCCTGGTGGAGATGACACAAAGTACACTGTGATGCGCGAAAATTTAGAAAAGTCGCAAACCTCGTCTAATTGTTCAAGCTCTTGCCATTTTTGTTGCTCCAAATAGGAATGTGGCCCCACGACCGCGGTTGCCACTGTCATCATTCTCTATGGTGGGCACGCGGCATTGACGAAGGCATCGACAACAATGTCGCCGACATCATCAATGATGGTCCACCTCCAGTTTCTATTCAGGGTGCCTCTCTCGCAATTCAGTTATTGACATTTTTCATGTATGTAAAGGCACCGCGGCCAACATGCACATAAAAACTGCATGCGGTGCACACGAGACCACCAACTCCCCACATCCACACATGAAGCACGGATCTCGATTTCTTACAACTTTCATTTGTGCATTTGTTTGAAATGTATTATAAAAAGAAAATGTTAATTTCGAAAGCTGATAATATAGGACGTGATACACTAATACCCCTGTCAAACGGGCACCTAAAAGCACCTTTACGCCAAAGGACCTTTAATGTAAATGCCATTTAAGCAGTGCCACGCGGCAAATCAAATTTTAGTGTAAAGGTCCTTTTCGTGAACCTGAGTTCCCACAACTCCTTTAAGACTGCTAAAGGCGTACTCTCGTCAGCAGCGGTCTACACTAGGGAAGCGAACTGAAATTAAAGATTGCACTGATATCTAAAAGCAATGTTTTTAAATGTTTATAATTAAAAAAGAGTGTGCTTCACGTATATTCTGTACTGACCTCGCTCGACTAATAGTTTTCTGTACTCACGGCTTCAGCTATCTAGAGGGCCTTGTCGTCCCGCTGCTCGCCTGCTCGCATCGTTTGCTTCAGCACTTCGGTTTTCCTCCTCTCGATTTTCCTTACAACCATATTTATCTAGCTTTTATTTCTCTCCTTTATATTTTATCATTTTTAATAGTGTATTGCTAACTCTACTGTGTATATTTAATATTTTTTGTACATACCGTAAAATACAGAGGAAGCACCCATAGCCGCACAAGCGCCCACTATTAACATTTTCAAAATTCGAAAATTTGGGCAAGTACACCATCAAGTGCCCATATTCTCAAAAGCGCTGGCGTTCCCGGCAGCCGCCGCGGCAGGCACCCTGCCGAAGGTTGCCACGGTGGACCCGGCCCGGAGGCCAATTCCCGTAGAATTGGGTTACCGAGGTCACTCCGAGGCACTTTGTCCTTCACGTTACTGCAGCATTGTGTGGTCCGTACAATCCGAGGGTAGCAACGACAGGACCGATAGGAGTGTAGATAACAGCCAGTTCGTCCCAGCATTTTGTAAAATACGTCTTGATAAATGCTTCGTGCTTCCCGATTGCAGTTGGTCACTCAGTTGGCAAGCAACCAGCACAGGGTGCACTGTGTAGGAGTGCACCCTGTGTAGGAGTGCACGAGAGGTGCGGCAATGTCAGCCGCACCTCTCGTCATTTCAACATCGACAGGAAGCGAATCCGTAAGTGGGACTCTAAGTATGAAACCCTGAAGCAACTTAACTACGGCAAGCAGAAGATGAGGAGGAAATTCACGAATGGGGTGCTTGTCTTCAGTGAGGAGGTGGATGACGCACTGTTTGAATACTTTCAAAGGGAGCGAGATGCCGGCCGGGCCATCAGCAACCGGCTCCTGGCAGAGTCTAAATCTTGGCAACTTCAAAGCGTCAACACAGTATATTAAGCAATGGAAGCAGCGATTTGTGGTGACTATGTGTACGGCGACCACAGCAGCCAGAAGGCCCCTGCTGACTGCGGCAAAGCTGTCACTGCATTCCGCTCTGCAATTGCTACTTTGCGAGCACGGCACGACTACACACCATTCAACATCTGAAATATGGACCAGACCATGGTCAGAATGAACAACACAGCGACCCACACCAATAATGTTGCTGGTGAAAACAGCATCCAAATCGCCAACACCAGCTGCGCCCGTCGAGGCTTCACCGTCGCAATGGCAGCTTGCGCGTCGGGGGCAAAACTTCCAGCATTTGTCGTACTCAAGGAACCCACAGGGAGGATCCCTGTCCGTGCGTTCATGGCGCTCCGCATACCAAGTAAGTTTGGCGCATTTCCTAACAAGTTCTGCTTTGTTTCGTTGACTGTGATGCGGTTCCTTCGAAAGACGAAAGCATGGCAAGAGCAACGAGTTTGTAAAGTTTGACACCAATGATATTTGAGATTCGCGATCGCCGTAACCGCGTTCTGCTTCGCTTTGTTATGACTAAGACGCATTTGACGCACTTCCCGACAAAAGACGAAAGCATGCCGAGTCACGAGATACGAAAGTTTGTAAACGTCGAATCGTGGCCGCCAAGCGCAGACGCAGAACTGCGGCACCATAGCAGAACCGGCAGAACTGCAATGACAAAATAACCTACCCACCTTCAGAAACTTAAAAGCCCGACTGTGCTTCTACCAGACTAACTGAGGGTAACTGCACTAACACTATGACGTAATGCGTGAGGCGTGGGCCCGACAGATGAATATGCCCTTGGCGCCCTGAGCAGGCAGGTTGTGTTCGATGTGCTCGATTGGATCTGAGTTCTCCGGCTTACCGCAACTTAAAACTGTTATCATGGGTCTGACTAGTAACTTCTAAAACACGACCAACCGAAGTAGTAGCAGTAGGCAGTAGTAGCTGCACGTTGTTTGACCCTGTCGGTTGCTTAACTGAACATTTGTCCTGTTTCCGTTTTTGCAGCGAATGTACGCTTGACGTCGTCTAAAAATGGTTGGATGACAACTGACAAATGTCTGGAATGGCTCATGTTTGGAGTCTCGACATCGACGACATTCGCGACTTGTTAAAGATCGACCAAGCGCCGATATACAAGACGAAGGCGGTCATGGACACTGCAGAAGCCTCCGCTACGGACATCGTGCACATTCCAGGAGGCTGCACTGGAATTCTACAGCCTGTGGACGTGTATTGGAACAAGTCGTCAAAGGACTTGCTTCGTACGTCATGGGTGGAGTTCATGCGGAAGGGAGACAAGACACCAAAAAAGAACCTCTGGAAGCATTCGAGGCAGGACGTCCTCAACTTTGTGTCAAAGGCCTGGGCAGCTGTGCCCAAAGACATGATCGCCCGATCTTTCAAGGGATGCGGCATCAGTGGCGCGCTGGACGGTAGCGAGGATGGCTACCTGCACAACGGACTTGCAGACATCGGAGCACCAGCGGCCTGCTCCAATCCCGAAGGTGTCAGCGATGAGTGCGTAGACCTTGTCTTTTGCAAAGATTCCAAAGAGTCATTTGACGGATTTAGTGATAACGAGTGAATACTGACGTCTACCAATCACCTGTACAACGGAAATAAAAGAGCCAGGCTGGATGCTTTCTCTGTTCCCATGGCTCTATGATGCTCTTCATCGGCCGCCATCTTGATTTTTGCGCATGGACGTAATAAGTGCCCATAGTTGGTTTTATGCGTATTTCGATAAAATGGAGGTGGGCGCTTCTTCGGTATTTTACGGTATATAATTCTGTATCTCACTCTTGCGTCGTGCAATATATCGAACAACGGAGGAGCGTCCACGACTAGGAAGGAAACGCCGCGCTTTAATTGAAGCGTTGAGGCGACCTGGGCACCGATACGACTTTGGGAGGATCGGCTGGAGGACCTCTGATGCGTGCGATGAAAATCGAGCGCAAGCATGACGCCGAACCGAACAGGGCAAAAGCGTAGCAGAAGCACAGAAAGGAACGGGAGCACTGAGCAAAGTTAGGACTGAGTGAGCAAGAGATGCTCAGGGTTGCCGCTAATTGCCAAAAAACCACTATGCTTGGGCTTAAAATAGATTTCGTTGTAATCACTCAACTGAACTCGTCATTTTGTTTTTTGTTTTTTTATATTTTGTTTGCTTAAGAAAAACTTTAAAAAATTTTTTATATCGCCAAAATAGTATTATTTTTCTGGCGTGAATGTGATTTATGCGTTTGAACGAGTTACAAGAATTCAATCACTGTAAACATCGCCTAAATGACATTTACTTGCACTGTCTGGCACGGCAGAACTTAAAGGTCATTTGAAAATCCTAAAGGCCTTTGGTGTAAAGGTCCTTTTAGGTGCCCGTCTGACAGAGGTATAACAGTTGTCGTGCGACTTGCTCCATCTGACAGTATTACAGGGGCATTATTTAGGGCGCTTTTAAAGGCCAGTCCAGGTACCACAATGTTTGGGTACAACGATTGAATTTCCCAAGTTTCTCATTATCATTACAATTAGAGTTTCATGTTTTTGGGGTTCATTTGTCTTCAAATACGGGAAAGTGCTTTTTCTCTCGGTTAATTTTTTTTTTTTTTTTTTTTTTTTTCACAGATGCGGCGTGAGTGAAACCGGAGTACTGGGAAAACCTTCCCTTAACAATAACAAAGGAGATGAGATAAGGTGTGCTGTTCTCAAACAAAGAAGCAGCTGTGCAAACAGTTCTGGGTCAACACACAATAAAGATGTAGATAAAGATTTCCTTCCAGCTTCGGTTTTTCTCATTCATACTTTTTCCTATTCATATGGGGTTCTTCAAGATTTTCTTTTTCAAGGTTTTTCTCATTTATGTGAGGTACTTCTGTTCTTCCCCGATTTTGATAAAACCAGCTCCGGGTTCACTTTTCAGGGTTTATTGACATATGCCAAAAACAATGACCTTTAGTTATAATTTATTTGCACCACAGTATCATGTACTAGATTTTCCAGTTCATAAGTTACACCGCCCATGAACAATCCTTTTCACAAAGAAGTTGGTATATACAAAGCACCTTCGTTCGAGTTGCACTTCTTAACACGGTCAGCACGGCAAAAATGAACTTGATAAGCCCGGATATGTGTACTGCGATTACTATGTATGTGCAAACAGCAGCCAATTTCAATATTCACACCAACGAATCGAAGAAAAAACATGAATTTCTTCGATTCATGTTTTATTCACGACTTATACACTAGAAGATATGGTAATCCCAATCCCAATACACCTAGGGTTATGTGTTTCCATAGTTAATTGAAAGTAAAAAGTTCTCTTCGAGCCTAAACCTGTCCCAAGTCTGAAAATCGTCTCGTAGTTCTTCAAGATCTCGGTACATCGAACGTAAACATGCAGGTTGTTAAATTCGACGGGCAGCACATGCAATTGAGCATCTTAAAGCCTGAGGCCTGTTTGCACAGGCATCACGGCGGCGGGATAATGCAAAGTCAGTGCCAAACCAGTGCTGACTCGGCACCGAGTTAGCAACTTTGTGTGCGTAAGCAAGAGAAGGAAGGGTCACATTAATTTACACAAAACGAAGCATGCATCAAAGGACACCCAGACTCACCTTGAAGTGGTACGCTAGCCTGACCAGGAAGGGGAAGTCAACGGCTTGCAATATCCGCTTCTCGTTTAACGTGTGTTCTACTTGTTTTAGCTTTACTACCTGCAGAAACAACGGAGGCATGCAATACGGGACAATTAGACGACAAATCAGGGCTGAAACAAAAGAGGATGACGAGCACAAAAAACAAAATTATAAGTCCCCTGCTATTGGTGTAGCAGTGTCGCAGCAGCGAGACCAACCCGAGCATACCAGTACATTCTCAGGTCGCAATGTGTTCAAACGGAAAACATATGCCACTCTTTGTTTGACAACAATTTGTCTATAAGTCGCTCGTAGAACTGCTCGAGGAAGACACTATTGTTGGGCAAGTGCTGTGCAGCAGGCTCTGTGAATGCAGCCTCATGTGGGACTGATGATGATGTAATGATTAAGATTTTAACCCCTTATCAGTTTTGAATATTTTTTTTTTATTTCTAATTATTCAACGCTTCATTGTTGTCTTTAAGATCAAATTTGTTGCCTTCAATATCATATTTCTAGCCACAGACAAAATAGGAGCGACATTTTTAAAAAATACACAGCTGCCATCCGTTGCCATAGTTGCAAACTAAGTTATGAGCGAGCCTAGATCGTCCCAAATGCTTGAGTGCAAGAATCGGAGAAAGAAGACGAGCTATACTCGGTCCTGAACGGTTTGGGGATGGCTTCACATCGACGAGCTAGGCTCGTGCAAAACGGTTAAGGGGTTAATGGCACAGCAACAACATATGCCATTATGTACCAATTCCAACTTATTTAGAAGGCACTAAGAAAAGCGGTTTGGGATAGTAGGACAAATATTACAACTCATGTAAATTGCCAGTCCCTTTCAAGAATCTGTGACCGACAGTCCTACGTTTGGAACAAGGTAACTAAAACTTCCGTAATGTTAAGAACATAATCTCTGAAAAAAAGTCATATTACGCCCACGTAGACAAACAACTATGCCGAACAAGTTTAGCACGAATGACTGAAGACAAAATGCCTCGGTTTCACGCAACGCTCAAAGTATCTTGCATATTTGCGTGATATAACGTGTGAAACGAGATCTGGTGAAAGGTGTCCACTGATATAGTTCAGAGATGTTTTTCCTATACTCCATTTCAGCATAACCTGCCAATGACAAACACCATGGCCCCGTGAGCCAATCAAAATGTCAAAGCTAAGCATGTGACATCGCACCACCAGTGCATACTCCCGTGGAGCGCTGTCACGTGCCTCGCTTTGGCGATCCAGCTGGCTCAAGGGGGTAGCAGCTCTCGCCCTTTACCAAGTTATGCTGGAACAAAATATACTGCGTCCCACAACCAAATACATAAAAACAAAAATAAATGACTGTAAAATTGTTAACAAATGTGGACACTACCCCGATACTTGTACAAAGATAAATTTCCGATCTGCACTAGAGTGCAGGTTGGCACACTGTAGACTGTACGCGAGAGTGCACTAGGATATTGCTTGCACAAGCTCGACAGTGTAGCTTCAAAAAATGCCTATAGTCGGTGAAAGGCCAAGAATGCAGTGGAAGTTCCCGACACACGCTCGTCACTTTCCACCGGGCCTTGGCTGCGCGACGACGAAGCCTTATTGAAAAGCAGAAACCTCCTGGTGAAGGCAGAGCATGTTCCACATTTTTAACATGTTACCGACTACAGTGTGTGCAAGCGTGTGTACAAAGAGCACGCTTCTTGAGGCATCACACTTGTGCCGCTGTCTTCCACAACAACGCACAGAAAGTCTGAAATGAGGTACAGATTTGGCGTGTTTATGCTGCTCGGTAGTGCTGTTGTGACAACTACACCCGCTTGTGTTTGTGTATTCGAAATGTGCGAAACAAACCTAGGAAACAAAACTACAAATACGGTAAATACGATGCACCCCCTACAAAGATGTTTTCAGAACGAGATACAGTTGTACTAGAGCCAATAAATGAGCTAATCTTGATAGCAACAGCATTTCAGCCATCTTGGTGCTAAAAAAATCATTGTTGCCACTTATACGAAGCTTCATCTGAAATCACAGTAAATGCTTTACCGTCCTCCAAAAATGATGTAATGCCTCCGACAAAACAAAATGACATCGCCTCAACCTCCCGACAAGGCACCTAAAGCTCACGAAGTAGCGCTTTGTAACAATATCTATCACTAATTGCACCCGCTCAGCAGAAGAAAACAAAATGGCGATGCCTACAAAACAATCGGGCAATGGAGCGTTAACCATGTTGAAATTAACCTGAGACTGGGGTAGAGAAGAAACATGAAAATGTAGAAGGGACAAAAAATAGACAGGACGATGTCGTCCTGTCTATTATCTATCCCTTCTACGTTTTGATGTTTCATCTCTACCCCAGTCTCAGGTTAATTTCAACATGGTTAATATTCACCAGCTCGCCTGCGCCCTTACGATTTTTTCTATAGAGCGTCTTAGCCATAAATTAAGCGTAGTCTATTTGGGGGCTCTAGCTTGCACAATAGTGGGCAGCAGTAACAGAAAGACCCTGAAATATTCTGTATTATCAGCATCTTCATGTATGACCGGCATCGGTGTCACTGGCCCGTAGAAAGGCAGTGCCTTCTCTGGAGGGGTGGGGTGAGGTGGGGTGGGGTGGGGGAGGGGGGCGTGGCTTGCAGAGCTTTATCAACAGAGTGGCAATGCAGCACGGGGAGCAGCAGTCCGTGCTTAGATCGGGAAATGATCGCTTCAGCCGCCAGCGTGCCGTGAACCCCCGGCAGTTCCAACGAGGCTCGGTGCAAGCTCGAGCGCGGGGTTAATATAATCCATTCCCCCCCGAGTGGAGCAAACTGAAGCAAGGGGTTACCCCACATGGCGCGGTCCGTTTGGAAGCCTAGTTTGCCAACCGTTTCAATAAGCTAGGCTTCCAAACAAACTGCACTACATGCAGTCACGCCTTGCTTCGCTTTGCTGCACTCGGGGAAAATAGATTATAATTTCGGGCTCAAGCTTGCACCAAGCTTCGTTGGAATCGTCAAGGGTTCGGCAGGCGATGGCGATCTGCTCTCGGTGTTGAGCCCTGCACCCACGCTGCACCGTCACTCCGTTGCCAGAGGTCCCCGAGCCTTGTCTCGGGAGACAGCTCTGCCTTGTTTCGAGCCAGCGACATCAACACTTTTTGAAAAGTCTGAGTTAGGAGCAGACTTCTATAGCTTTTTGGCTCGTGAAATCAGTGATCGCACTCAACTTGGGCGGAAGTAAATGTAAACCGCATTTATTTTGGAAGAATACGCGCAGCGATTACTTCGCGGCATGCGGCGTGCCTCTCTGCCGCCTATTGCCCGTCCAAAGTGTTGCGACGTCATCGTCAGCAGCATCCCCAACCAGCTTAGTGGCGGGCAACAGTCATCTGACCCCGCCGACCACGCCACTTTTGCTAGTTTTTCTCTCCGCTCACCCACGCTCAGTGCATCGCAACGGGCGGTGCCACGTCAAACTTTTAATTTGCGATTACTACGCTAATAAGATACCTACTAATAAGATGGAAGGAAATCTTAAGACACTTAAGTTTCAAGATATCTACATTAAAACTTCAAATCTTTTTTTTTTTTACCAATTTAAAGGGATTTTTGAAAAGAAAGAGAATGTGTATTTTAAACAGTTTGGTTGGGCCACGCCTGTCAAAAAATAAAATTTTATGCGAAAAAAATAATTTTTTAGTGCAAAATTGATGGCGAGAGATTTATTTTAAATTCTGCGCACAAAGTCCATGACGTCACAGAGAGGTCATTCACTCTTTTCTCCTCAACATGAAGGCAAAGCCGATCCACCTAGAGAAAATAAATGGAAAGGGGGTGACTACCAACTAAATTGCATCTCACGCCGTCAATATTGCTCTAAAAAAATTTTTTTTTCCGCGTGAAATTAATTTTTGTTTAGCGCGTCCCAATTAGATTGTTTAAAAAGAAAGTTTTTTTTCTTTCAAGGGGTTCTTTAAGGACTTTTTTAGCTTTTATTAAAGAAACACAGGGTGTTGCTAGTCTGCGCATCTTATTGTCGAACTACAATCAATGACACTGCGGCGTTAGCCGATAAGAATACCAAGGAACGAATCATGAACCTAAAACATAAGTCAAGCCCTCCACTTGTTAAGCTGGCACTGACTCAAGTCACTAGACATACTACTCGGTTGCTCGGTTGCAAAAGTGTGAACGGCGCTTAAAGCGGGGGTGCAACGATTCCTGGACTTTGGTCAAAAATTTCTGGAAGTTGCCCTCTGACACTTCTGAAGTAAAGAACAGAAAACCGACTTCGCCTGCATGTCCAAGTAGTTGCAAAAAAAAAAAGATGAATATTGGCATTTCGGGCACCCCTCAACTCACTCCCAGCCTTCAGGGTCACACCTGGTCCCTCCCTCCTAGTGACGTCATTCGGAGCGCCGTGTAGGTTCCCGTGTGCTATCTCAGAGGACGCTTCCTCTCCCTCTCTCTGCTGACATTAGCGGGCGTTATGGTGCAGCTTAGAGCCGAGAGAGGTCACGTAATCTTTTCGCCGTAGTTCCTTCGGCTGCCACTTGGGGCTGCAGGTGGGGGAAGAAGCTCGACTTTTGCTTTGCGATTATGCAGCGGAATCGCAACATTTTTAATGGAGGAGGTGTTTTCTCTCTCCTCCGGGACAAAATAAACAACGTAAAAATGACGAGATGCAAATTCTTTTAATCATAAAATCGTTGCACCGCCCCTTTAAAGCGAGAGAAAGAATAATTTTTGTTATCCATTATACCAACGGTGTAATTCATTGAATCAACCTGTACATTCAAGCTGCCGATAGACCCTTTCCGAAATTCAGTGCCATCTGGCGTTTCAGATAGCAACCTAGCATCTGGCACTCTAATAGCAGCAACGGAAATGTACTATTTCATGGGGCACCGCCACTTTCATACATCAATGGCACATGAGGATGTATTCTTTACTATACAGTTCTTTTCTAACACTGTCACTTTCTCGTGTCAACAGCACATGAAAATGTATTCTTAACCATACTCTTCTTTTTCAATTTTTTCGCAGTTTCTGTGGCGACAAAAGGCCCTTATGGAGCACTGACTCGAATAAAATCCTCGATAAAATTTTTTACATCAAGGAGCTTTAGAGCTAATTGTGCGGCAAAAGATTAACTGGATGTGAGTAGGAAATCAACGCTGATACTGCGCTTGTATTAAATTTTAGACTCATATTGCTCTAACATCTTGAATACATAGACCTCGTTTAATTCACCTAAACATGTCTTCAACTTCTTCCTTGGTGAGTCACCAGGTGGCAGCCATTGGTATGGCACAGATGCCACACACCGATGATGACAGCGATGAAACTGTTGAGACTTAATTTGGGAACGGAACTATTTCCTGCATACAAAAGAGAATGAAGGAAAACCCACCTTTTGTTTATCTAATATTTTCATGGCATAATAGTCCTTCTTTTCTTTGTGCTGGACCAGCATGACCCTGCCGAAGGAGCCAGTACCTAGTGTCTTGACCCGGTCGAAATCGTCCAGGGTGGCTGTGTTCTGCGAAGAGCACATTAAAGAATGCCTTGAGCATTGCACGTCAGATGCTTTCAATTATTTCCTCGAGCAAATTAAAAAAAGAAAAAGGAAAACACCTTACAGTGCTACTATGTAGCTTCAGTTTCAAACAAGAATAGTAAATGTAACTGAAGGGCCATAATTTTTTTTTCAATAAATGAGAGGCAGCTTCCAGGATGTGATTTACTGCGTCCAAATATTAAAATTTGCCCTTGAAAGGACATTTCCCAAGTTTAAGTCATTGTAGTTACCTATTCTGCTATTTATTGGTCATGTCCTATGCTGCTAAGGAACACACGCTTTGTTAGCTTGTTGGCACCGTGGCTCTTGTAAGCTAAGAAGGATGTCTGCTTTTTCAAAATCCTATAAAATTGTCATAATACATACAAAAGATAAATACATGCTATATCTAGTTCTCCATGTAAGTGCCGCACAGATTTAATTACTTTTTATGACGTGGCGGAACAAGCTTTTGGACGCCTTCCTCAACTGAGGTTACTGCCTAGGTTTCTTGGTCATTACACTATGCGTTCAACAAGAACGTCAGTTGCCACAGACATTCTCCCCTGAGCCATCATCATGGACATTTGCCCGTCTCAGCCGAAACCCTGTTTCTTCGTATACGTTTTCTGCCCGTAGAGACTGACGGCCTCATTAAACAGATAAAGCCGCGGTCATGCCGCTGATGCATCGTATAAAAGACAGTCTGCAAACACTGGCAGAGGCGTGCCTGCTCTTTGTACGACGACCCCATCGCATTGGTCGTACAAAACCAGTATGCAGTTCGCAGATAGTTCGGTTGTCGTGTCTGCAGCAAACACTGTGTCGTTTGTATAATGAATAAGCGGTGGCTTAATGGAGCAAGTGAGAATCCACGTGGCGTCTTCTGAAAAGGGCATCAAAAAGCTTGTGCCACATCACAATAAGTTTGCAAACCCGTGTAGTGATTACACGGAGAAACAGCTGCAGTATGTACCTATCTTTTGAGTAAAATAAAACATTTAGTATTGCACATCTTGTTTTTTACACGAATCATCGAGGGTTGAAGAAAAAAAAAACAGCCTTTGTATACAACTAACATTAGCCACGCTTCTAGATTCCCGTAAAACCTTTTGTCGAAAGTTTTTCCTTGCAATAACGCCTTTGTGTGGCTTGAACACATGAGGTAAATTTAAGAAGATACCTCGAGTTCCACGAGTGCCCGTGGACAGATGCCCACTCAAAGAGAAAGCTTGAGGCAAAAGAAATTCCTTTTGTCTTATGCATTCCCTTGTGCCATTGTTTGTTTTTGAATGCAGAGATAACGCTGCCAAATGTGTAACTCGACTTATTTTTAAAGCTCCACAACAGTGTTTCAAAGTTGGCAAGCAGACACCGGAACGACGCACAGGGGTATTCAGACACTAGAACAGCAGACGCAAAAATAGCACCAGGAGGGGGTAGGGGTGGCGGCAAGGAAATAAACTGCTATAGCAAACGAACTGCAGACAGTCGCACACAATCTAAAAATCTTCCATATTATCAACACACATAATGTGCCCCTCCAAAGAGTTGTTTTTCTTTGCAAAAAAGAACTATGTATTGCCAAATGCTCATTCTCTGTCCAAATGTAGCACTGGTGGTGTGAATTAGATGCCTAAGTTTCAGAGCTAACCGTTATCTTAATCCAGAAGTTATAAGCGATTTTCTGAAAGTTTCAATGGGAAAATAGGGCCCATATTTGCCCGTTTTTGTTAACTGGCACCATAGAACTCCATGTATTGGAGAGCTCTGTCGGCCATTATTTTCTCATTGAAAATTGCAGAAAATCATTTAGGGCTGCTTCAGATGGGCCAATTTTCGCAGCCATTTCCGTCTTGCTGAAGAGTTGTACCCTAGCTATCACTAGGTCCTAACACTGCAACAGAAATTTCTGGGATCGAGTCAGGGGTGAATTTAGGGGGAGGGCGACCGACCCTCCTCTTCAGTTCCCCAAGGTCAACTTTTTTAAAATAAAACCAATGATATACATAGTGTTCAAAGTTTTCGGTTTAAACCGATAAAAGTATGCCGAATCCATTTTCGGAAATTCGGTTTTAACCGAAAAAGGTCAGTTTTTAGGTTCGGCATTTTCAATTCCGATAAAAGTTCATTGAATCCATTATCTACACTTCAGTTTTAACCGGAAAAGGTCACATTGACCTTCCAGTCGTACCGCAGAGCCGTGGCGAAAAAGTGGAACGACAATGTCTATCGAAACGTGTCCGAATGTATGGGATACACGGGTGCTATCACGACGTTTTGGTGTAATGTTCGCATCATCGATCAGAACGTGAAATCCGAAAGGCCCCATGACTTCGCCATGTACGAGCGTGTTTTGAAACTCGTAAGGAAGACTGATTCGATGCAAGCTCTGCATGTTGTGTTGTGCTTCAAAACGTTGCACCGTGCCTCTTTTGGCGGTCACAATTGGTTGATTGGCCGATTTTGGCTCAGGCAGCGCTTCATCTCCTCAGCCTGCCAGTGTCCAGTGTTAGCGTTGAGAGGGCATTCTCAAAGCCAGGGTCATATTAACAGGAAAGACAGAGTGCGGATCAAGGAGGGGAACCTGGGAAAGTACATGTGTGTGTACTATAATAAGAGCACATAATCCTGATGTACAGAAGGTGAAGTTGGATGTTTTTTTGGGCATAGGCTTCATATCTGACTTGTTTGTACTGCTGTGTTTTTTTCTTACTTATTTCGTTTACAGTTGCACAGATTTCCCAAATAAAGTGTCCCTTTCTTTTTCAATGTATCTGTGCCTGTGTATCTTAGAGTGATCACAAATATCAGAGCTACAAGGATCATTTGAACCGGTGTCCGTAGGTGTTAATTTTATATTTACCGAAAAAAGCCGATAAACCTTTGTGGGCATAAATATACGCCAAAAAAAGAAAAAAAAAACGAAAAATGAATTTAAAAATAAACACCGAAAAAAGTATGCCGAATTTTGAAAAAAAAATAGAAACCGAAAACGCGGAACCTTAGATATACACCAGCCAAAAGTTAAGTTTTTGGTGACATAGCAAATATTGGGTCAACAAAATGATCTGGGCAACGTTTTGGCCATACCACATACATCAGCACACTCCCCCCCCCCCCCCCCCCCCCGCGCCAGCCTACCGCCCCTCCCAGTCCTGACCCATAAATCCGCCCGTGGATCGAGTTCAGCTCAAAACAGACAAGCAACTCGGACACGATATCAAGGTCGCAACATTTTCATTTGACACCCCTGTGTTGGTGAGGATGATAACTAAAAGACTGGGTTCTGGTTTGAAATGGATTGTTTTTGGGAACAAATTGTTTCAGCAAAATGAATTAGTATTCTCAAAACCATTTAAAGATATAAAAACATGTTTATAGCGTGCCACTCCGTCTAAATAGTAAAATTATTTAAAATTTAATTATGGCAATGGCAAATCATGGCAATTTGGTTGCCACGTGTGAACACGGATGGCCCGTGTTGCTGGTGCTACACCGTCAAGATGCTGGGAGAAACTGCCCAATCTGAAGCAGGCCTCATAACTTTTTAATAAGATAACGGTTAGTTCTGAAGCTTTGGAAAGTGGTTCAAACTCCGATACTCCGTTCACACTTAAGCTGAGACAAGGAGCTCCGCTCCACCTTCAGGGTGAGTTTTCTGCCCTTACTAACTCAAGTGTGAAAGCACAGGCACACTTGCGCGTGCCTGAGCTTTCACACTTTACACTGCGGAAGCCAGCGAGCTCGCGCTGAAGGCAGAGCTTCTAGTGTCAGCTTAATGGTGAAAATTCAGGTGAAAAAAACAAAACACATACAATGCAAACTTTGTAAAAAAAAAAAAAAAAACAGACAATAAGACGAAATCAACTCTGTTAGCATAACTTCCAAATTTCTTCTGGAAAGCTGGGCGTTTGAGGAACTCCAAGAGCCCTTAATGTACTGTAATTCAGCATCGTTTTGGTAAAGACAAAATGCATGGCAGTTAATTTGGTGGGTCCTCTCTGCAAACAAGCAAAGGCTTTGAATACTACAGATTACATCTTCAACAGACATGCCAAAGAAGAAGAGACAGGAGGGGAAGCCAGAGAAGTTAACTTGGAGTATTTTTCCTGGTTGGCTAAAAGACGTAAAAGTTACAGATTTCAAATGTTATTAGCACAGTGCCATTCACCAATACAAAGGTGCTAATGGACCTAGCACATGGCTCCAATATTTTATTTATATGCATCTTAAATGCCACTAGACCAATGCATAGCTCTTGTGGGACATGACAAACATTCCAACAGCCAAACGAGGAAAACTGCTGATGCAGACAAGACTCACCGTAGCAGGCGAATTCCATTTCTGTTCAAACACCCTCTTGGCGTCTTCCAGGAACCTCTCAACTGCAATTGAAGAAACAGCAAAAGAAGAAATGGTTAGCGGTGCGATTATGCAGACACCCAGCAACCATGCACATCCGGAATGCTCACTGCGCATTGCGTTTCCGACCCCAAACATTGCGTCGGGGCCGCAGACAACGTTGCGGCAATGTCAAAGCAGCGCAAGCGACGTTGGATGAGATGCCAAGCCATGACACCTCAGAACACAATGGTAGCGTAACGGTGCAGCGTTGTGGCAGTGAGTCGTTCCTTTGCATGCTGACCAGCCCATTGCAAGGGCTGACACGGCACAAGCAAGCGTACGAGGGTCGTTGGACAAATAGCACGACCCAAGGCATGACTGCCTCGAGCGGAAAACTCTTTCGGTAAGTGTATATAAACAAATCGAACTGCAGTCACAGCTGCAGCGCATAGAGCTGCTAAGCTACATTCATTTTTTAACCAGTCACAACCAAAAACGTAACCATAGAAAAAGCCGGATTAGTGCCGCGAGACCTCAAAGGGTAACAAAGCTCCAAGAGTTTTGTGGATACATTTCAGCGAACTGCAAAATGCGATGCCAGGCCCTTGCCACACAATTTCCAGAAACTTCAAAGAAGCACGTCTGAGAATGTTTCGTAAACAGCAAACCAAACAATGCAGATCATGAAATGGCAAATCAGCAAGTTTGGAAAGTCCTACGGGATGGTAAGTAAACAACTGTTGCTAAGTGAATAAACCATTGTTGTTATTCGCGGTATCAGAAGCCACTGGCCGTGGTTGCCGCATAAATAACTAATTCTGTTTACTCCAGAAAAGGAGGCCGGGCATGTCGGCCAAATAATTCCCGCCCCAAATGCTCGTGAATTGTTGATGACTCCAGCACCTCTCGCGTGTGCAGCCCAACAAACTTAGTTGCGCCGATAAAGAACTCGACAATTAGGTGGGCCACAAACAACGCTTCCTCATCCACCGCTCCAGTGTGTGAGACTCGGGCACGCAAAAGTCAACGAGCGAGATAACCAACTGCCCAGCAAGGTTAGCTTAAACACTTATTCTTTTTTCAGCATATGATACATATGGCATGTGTGCAAGAAAAGGTCATTAACTTGGATGGCACAAGCGAAAATCACGCAAAGCATACGACCGTTTAGAGCAAGGGTCTCAATACGAGGCCCGCGGGGCCGCACGCAAGCCGCGACTAGCTGGGATGCGACCTGCATGTAACTGCCTATGAGCCCTAGTTCCCATGTCTCGAGCACTAGAAATGGCATGCGCCATGGTGATCCCATCTTGCCAATTCATTTTCGCTTGAAAAGTAGCTCTGCTCTTTTAATGTATCCACATAATTTTTTACTTATCTGTGTTCATTTGCCCTTTGTTTCGCTTTATTTTTTGCTTCCCAGCTTTTTGTAATGTACAACTATTCCGGTACTAGACTGCAAGCGCGAGCTCTTCGTTGAAGTATGCATCTCAGCTGCGCGAACTCTTGATGAGCAGGAACAACTTGCAAAGATAAAGCTACAAGTTTGGGGTTCTTGCCTTAAAAAAATACCTATCAGCATTAAAAGACAAGTATTTGTTCAGGTAGTTGTAATAAAAATTGTCGGGAAAGCAAGAATTGTCAAATTAACTGACTGCCTTTTTAGAGACATTTTGAGCTTGTTTAATTCCTGAGTGAATTGAGCAATGGGAACGACAGTGCTCTCTTGTATTAAAAATGCCAGGACGTTGGCCGGGCAGTGTCATTTTAATTCTTGTTATCACTTCAGGTCAGGGCCAAAAGTAGTCATATAAACAAATCAAATCTAAAGATGTCACTGGCAAAACTGAGTTTACAAAAAGCATAGAGCATGAGGTCTCTTCTCTTTTAAAGCTTCTGAACCCCCTCCCCCGTCTTAAGCTGGTCCTCAATCCTTCCGGTGTGGGCTATTAGGCCCCCATGCTCAAATGAGTTTGAGATCACTGGCTTAGAGGATTTATCAAGAGCTGAAGTTTCACGAAATATGTTGAGAATATCTAAAATAAATGTTAAGAAACCTCGCATCACAAGTCAAACATCTCATCCCAACTTAATTTTTCAATGAGGTTAGCATTCAGTGTTGCCCTCCCCCCCTGGCTTTGGCAAAAGATATGCCAGGGTGGTACGTCAATATAAAAGAAGTACAAGCTATCGATTACATTTTCGTCATGAACAGTTTTAAAACTCGGACATCAAGCAATCATACTGCACCCCTTTTTACTGCAATGGATGTTTTGGCGAATATGTGCTGCCACCTAGAAAAGCGACTGGGTTTGAGACTAAGTGGCTAGCAAACAATGCGCGTGCAAGGCCTCTCCCACCCGTTCCACACCCAAAACGTCAGCCACATCCTGTTCGCCTGTTGATCCGCTGTGATCTAGATCGGCTCCCTCAAACTTGCCTTTGTCCCCATCGTGGGTTATCTGTGATCTAGATCGGCTCCCTCAAACTTGCCTTTGTCCCCATCGTGGGTTATCTTCTGCCCCGAAGTCGACACAAAGAAACCATCTTCCCTCTCTGCTCGGCCAGAAGGAAGAGAGAGGGTACTAGAACCATTTGCTCTCGAACCAATGTTCCTACAAAAGGTCCATGGGATCTTAGTCTTTTAGACTCCCCACCCCCAACCCTTTCCCTTTTGCCATCTATAATCAGCATTAAGGGTTATTATCCATTAGTATGTTTAATTCTCTCCCAGTATCGCTACCCCTGGTATATGTTAAAAAAAAGACGAGGTCAGGTCTTTCAATCACACTTGTCCAGAAATGGTGCTGAGAAGTTGCCACATTTTCTCTAAATTTAGCAATGCTGCGACAAACTTCCCTAGAGGTTCCCCATCAATTCCAGGCTTTCCCTGTTTGCCCCTGTTAGAAGGGATCCTTTCACTCTTCAAGGAACACTGGGTGATTGCACTTAGAAACACTGCATTGAAACAAACAAAACAACCCACTGTCGATGCACGCTGTGAACATGCCAACATTTCAGTGCAATAGCAGCCATGTGAGGTGCACGTAAGCACACACACAGCCGGCTTGTATGCAAAATTGAAAGCAAGGGGGAAGCTCGGAGGAAGAGAGAGTGTGTGAGAAAGAGAAACAGAGTCAAAAGCGAGATCCCTAGGGCCCCAAAAATGTGTATTAGACAAAGCTTGATTTATTTCTAAATGCATAATTCCATGCATTGTTGCAATAATTAGAATTTTTCATGTTTCATTTCCCCCCTCCCCATACATATTTTTCGTACCGTAATTTACTCTCAAAGGTGAGCATCGACATAGTTAGTTCAAAGCCTGTTTCAATGTGCATTTGAAAGGCCAATTTAAGTGGTGAAATTCAAAGGTGAAACATAGTCTCAGTAAAACGTTCAATTCCAAACAACTGGCTGGCACTTTCAAACATAAAATTCTTTCAAAACGGCTAAAACGGCTACGAAATTCCGTCGGGCGGATGCAACCGCAGAGGCACGCGTTCAAGGATAAACTTCAAGTTGCCGAATCGAGATGCTGTATTCAGGAAAGAAGTATATATTTTGTCTTTAGCTTAACTTGTAAAGCTGCCATTTAGCCACCCAACAACACACATGCCAAGGGAGCATTGCTCTTGTCGGCACGCTATCAAAGCACTTCAAGCAGGGATCACCTATCCTTAAAATGGCGCACACCTTTCATTCTTGACGTCAATCTTACAACGAGCATAACCAACGCTTTCGTTTGAATTCTGCCGCTCGACGGTGTGGGCCCCAGAGATCGGCATCGGTGCTGGGTGCCACACTGTTTGGCATCGGCCGGGAGAAAGGGTGAGGGGAGAGAGTGGGGGTGAGAGGGAGGGGGCACCACTGCGCTGCGTGTGGCACTGCAAACCCCACCTGACACGGAGCCACTGCTCTTGAACGGAGGGGGCTTTGATTGGGTTGGTGTGGCGCCCCCTAGGGAGACACAGACGACGCACAGATGGAGGAGGGACTGAACGGGACACCAGGCGGCCGCCAGACAGTGCGGTCGCGAAACACAACCACACTTGTTTTCAGATGCAGGAGGGACACACAGACAACAGAGGCAGTGCCAGAGAAAAAGAGACGAAAAGTACAACAACAACAACAACAGGTACGAGCCAGTGCTGGAAAGATGTGCCTGCTACCTTGCATCACCTGGAATGACAAGACACCGGCCTAGTGTAAACGAATTAAAGATTTAATATGCCCGACGTGCCGGAGCAAGGTTGAGCTTTAATTTTAGACCTCCCGGGGATCTCCAACGTCAAACCTAAATTTCAGTTACATGATTTGAACATTCACTGCATGGAGCCTCGACAAGATTGTCGAGGCTCCGGGAACACAGAGCGGCAATGGCTTAATCCTCCTCACGGGCGCTCAATTGTGTTTGGCGGCATGATGAAAACAACTCTTTCGTGACGGAGGTAATCATACGTAACGTCGCTTGTAAAGACTGGTTGGTTGACATATCTGTGTTTGTGACTGCATGCATTGTAAGCTCTTGTAATAAATTGCTGCAATTAGTGATGCTGTTCTTTTTAAACAAACTCTTACTAACAGCACCCTTAATTGATTTAATTGCCATCTTTCTTTTTATGTTCACTCCTCTTTGTAATGTACCTTGTACCTTGAAGGTACAGAAGTAACCTTGAGGGTAAATAAGTAAATAAATAATTACACCACTTAACACCCTAGCGCCATCTATCAGGCAGCCCTGGAGCACTTCCGCCCTGTGTACATATTCTTATAATTTTCTATGCATAATTGTTTGATAGTAGGCTTGAAATATCACTGACACTGTTATTAGCAACTATTTCTCATAAATGGTGCATAGATTTAATCTTGCAAATATGGCTCTGTTAAAAGGCTACAAGAAATCACAACACGCTTGGTCACAGTCAACTGCAATTTTAAGATTACTTATGATCTTACGAGTGATGCTAGGTAAAATTACTTGAATTGCGAAATCTTTCTAGCTGTCTACTAAAATGCCCTGCAGCGGCCAGTTGACAAT